GGAGCAGAGACTGGGGCGCTGTTAACTTGTCAGTGATCTAATACTGCCTTCCACAAGCAGTTGGCAAAAGTTAGCAGGTACAAATCCTATACAGGAAATTCTTGCATGAAGTCTGAACACAGCCCTTTAGCTTGTACAAGGAGCCACATTCTCCCACCTCTTCCAGTTGCTACAAGCGGAGTGAACACAGTGCGGCATGACTTGCCACAGTCACAAAGGACATCTGTGATAGAAAAGAAACCAAGATAGATCATTAAATTTGGACTTCAGGAGCTGAACCATCTTTACCTTTCTTATCATCCAACACTTCACATGTCCTCTACTTTCATGTCAGGAAATGTCACTTATAGCCCGGTAGGTTTACCTCTTACCTCTCCTCCAGCTCCTCGTCCCATGATCCTATAAAAGGATGAAAGGGTTGCCATGCCTCAGTCTTCTTTTTTGGCCTATTGCATCTGCCAAAGAGTCCCAATGGTCACACTGCTATGTAAAGCCATTACACATGAGGAAAAAAGACTTCTCCTTTACTGAACAGCAGGTGAAATTTCTCAATGAGTATGAGGAACTACAGACCAAGTTAAAGCAGGAATTTGGGGGTGAAATGACAACACTCTTCCACATGAACATTGCCAACTCTCATGTTCAAAGAATGTCAACTGGCTTAAAGGTTAAAAAGAAAAAATTCGATCAATTTAAATCCTATTTTCTATTTTTGTCATGTTTTATATCCACTCAGGGCTTGGGGATTTTTATTTTTTTTTTTCAATCCACAGAAGTGCCGTGAGTCACAAGAAATCAAGATTCTCACAAATCTCTTTGTTCCCTATGCAGGTTTTTTCAGTAAAACACCAAACATGACCACAAAGAGTAGAGAAAAGAAGCAGCATCAAAACATACTCAGTCTATTCCTCTTCAGTTCAGACAGGAAAGAAAGAAGCAAGAATCCACACAGTCACAAGATGTGAGAATATTTCTTTTTAATTTAAAACAGTTGCAACAATGTCTTTCACAACCTTTCTGATCTCAGACAAATACTCTCCAAACTGTTAACAGTGCTTCAAGCAAACAACTCTGAATGGTGCAAAGTAAACTGGTACAGACACTTCCAGGATACAACAGTAAAATCACTGAGGAGTGAATAGAAATCAGAAACTGACCTCAGCCATTCAGACAGGAAAGGTAATGAGAAAAGAATAAAAAGTTAAGTCCAGTTACATATTTTGCATAGTCTGTCATTGCATGAAAATAGCAAAGATTATAAAAATGGCTGCTGCCAGGATGGAGAACAACAGGAATGAATTGGAGATAATTCTAAAGCAATCTAATGAGCTCTGGTTGCAGCTGTATTCAGAATGTACTCTACAAACCCAGTGGAGGCTGTCTGAATCAAAGAAACTGGACTAATGCTGGTTTCAGTTACACCAAAGTAAGTCAGAAGTAATGCCACTGAACCCAGTAGAATTACAAGTGATAGTAGTCCAGAAACATCTAGACTTGTTTTTAAACCACAGCTTTGAATAAATTAAATTTTTATCCTAATTATATTTTAGCTAGGAAGATTAAATAGGAGTTTGTGCCTACATGTGTTTTGGAGACTGGAAACTGTGACTCAGAATGAGGGGTCTACTGGATCCAGCACGCTGCTAGGAACGAGAGGAGAAAAGGAAAACAAGGAAAAGTTGTTGAGTTTTTCTTCCTTCCACTCTCCTAACCTGAATGTATCACATGAAAAAGTAAAAATCAGTCGGAGAAATAAGAGCATTATTATTTGCTGCCAACTCCTGGCTTGCCATAATTTTCAGGTTAGATTGTCTCAAACAGCTCACAGTGATTTTTCTTCCTCCATCCTTTTTTGTCAAGAACCTCTCAGCACACTTAACCCCCTAACAGCTATTACAGTACTCAGACACATGGAGTTTCCCCATCAGCCGCTGTCCACTGTTGTGGACAGGTTGTGCACTGAGGCCTGGGCCAGCACAATTAATTGCATACAAATTTTAGCAGGCAAATCTTGATAAATTAGTCATCTATTCAGTACAGTCTGTTTGAGTGTGGCTTCTGAATGCTGAAGTTTAAAAAACCAAAGTCCTCTCCCCCACGTTAGGCTGAAGAGTCAGGAATTTACATCCTGCTCCTGCAGATTCATGATGTTCTTCACACATAGCCCATTGCAAAAGTGAAATGACTTAACTAGCCATTTGAAAAAGGAGGGAAGCCACTACTTTGGGAAATACTGAAGTAGTTCCTCAAACAGCTGAAGAACTTTTAACATATTTTCAAGCGCTAAATTTTAGAAGATCCATAAGCCTTTCACCTAAACTGCTCTCTGCACTTCTGACCCACTTGGTAGTTTAGGCAGGCAGTACACAAGAGTGATGAACTGAAAAGAATTTCAGAAGCTGAGGTGCTACAGTTCATCTATCACAGCCAGCAAATGGCTCCCACCTTTCATTTACCATTTCCAGTTTATCAAGTGTGCCTCCTATTAACTGAGATCAGTCAGTCCCACAGCTATTCCAGTTTTGGGATGTACCAGACAAATGGTTTGCAAGAGTCCAAGCTCCATCCTTAATCCTATGAGAGACCAGCCACGTTTCCAGTTTAATAATGAACATGTGAACTAATCTATTGGCCTTCATTTACCCAAGGTTTCTAAATAAAAAGGTAGTGGCCACCAGATCCTGTTAGTTTATAAATAGCCCTTTAAGTTCATGAGGCAAGAGTGAAGCTGTTGTGCTGAACTTCCTTGGAATATAACTGCGCATAAGGAAAAAAGAAAAGAGAAAAGAGAAAAAAGAAAAGAGAGGAGAGAGGGGAGAGAGGGGAGAGAGGGGAGAGAGGGGAGAGAGGGGAGAAAAAAGAGAAAAAAGAGAAAAAAGAGAAAAAAGAGGCCTTTTGTCCTTTTTGTACTGCCAGAATGGAAAACCACAAACATAGATATATGGAAGTTTTGTTCTTTCACTTTATATAGAAGATGTATCACTGCATAATTTGCTGATCCCATTGTCAAATCTGGCATTTTCTGGTGAAATACACAAATACTCAAAACCTGGAAGAAGGAAAACAATTTCTGGCAGCTTTTATTTTGTCCAGAACTGGTGGCTCAGTAATTACAAGGCAGCTGAATCTCACAGAAGCCACTTACTATTGTGCTAGGATGCCACCGTTCTTTTGTGTCAATAAGGGCACTAAATGCCAGAAGCTTTCCCAGCAATTAGGCACCATTTCCACTCTACATAATTATTGCACTAGAATTTCTCTCATAATCTTTTAAGATCAAAAATTGATTTAAAAAAATCAACAGTGTTTTTTTGGCTCTGCATGAGGCTATATGACCAGAGGGAGAACTATTTTTCCCCAAATGCTGGAAAAAATGCCCTGCTCATAACCAGATTTTTAATTTGGGCTCTCTTCTGTAGTGTGTAGCTGCCTGAATTTTGCTATTAAACTTGCAGGCACTGACTGCAGAGAAAATGTAATTACACCTCCCTGCCTCTCTCTGTAAGGAGGATTTTTTTTTTTGACTGTTCCAATTTATTTTGAGGGCTCAGTAAGATAATATGAGGCAACTCCAGCAACAGTCTCTAAGCAGTGGCCCACACTGTAAGCCTTTGGGGGTTTTTTGGAATCATGAAAGGTTTTGCACTCACGATTGTATTTTTTCTAGAATTAGTGTTTTCAAATACAATTTAAAAACCCACATATAAATTCTTGTCTGTGATACAAAGTGAAATAACAACCCAAAGAAAACAAAACAAAACAAAACAGGAAAGGCCAGCCCCTACCTACCCACCCCTTCATCCCTGCCAGATATATAAAACCCCTTTTAGAAGGTGTCTGTTGAAGCAATCAGATTATTGGTGTGTTTGCAAGTTTTAAGAAAGCTGACACATCACTTCAAAGTGGGGTTTTCCTCTGTTGTTTGGTTTTTGTTATTGATTTTTGGGGGTTTTGGATGGTTTTTTTTTAAAGGGAGGGAGGAGAGAGGGGCAAATCAGTAAATCAGCTATTTTACTAAGCAATTTCCCTCACTCATGGATGGAACTAAATAAGCAATCTTTGGCAGAAAGCACAATTGCACTGTGAGTACTTTGTCAGGGAGTTGATTTCAGCTGGAATGTGAGTGGTCTAGATGCAAATTTCCCTGAAATAAATATAATGGGACATTACCCCTTCTTTACCTCCTTCATAAGAAAATAAAATTTAAACAATAGCCTTGCCCTTCCTGAGGGTATGCATTTAATTTTATAGTCAGAAAGTCTGCTTCTTTTAGCCATCTGTAATCCTGAATCTGTTGGAAGAACTTGCAAAACAAACATCCAAGAGAATATGAAAAAACCTATGTCTGCAAAAATAAAATCTACTATTTCTCTTTGGCAGAAAATATACAGGGCACTGACAGGAGATTGCTTCCATCTCCATTAGTTTCTTAGGTTTACACATCAAAAAGGCAAACCAAAATACTATAAAACTGAATTCCAACAGATATAACTTTAGTTGACTTTTCTCACTGTACCAAAAATAATCTCTCAAATAAGACATTCTGCTTTGAAGAACACTCACATACCCCCTTCCTCCAACTTTATATGCAATATGATTTCTCCTGAGTGGTCTGGAGTCTGGTTGAAAACACTGGCTCCCAGTTACCAAAGATGCAAGTATTTCTTTGTGGTCTTCAACACATGCATGTACAGAACAGGCAGGAGGTGGGCTGAACTGGGCTATTTTTGTTCAACTCTGAAAATTCCACCTTCTCCATTTACTAGCTGCAAACTCCACCAGTAATCTGCATGGTCTTAAGGTACCCTTTAAGGTGTATAAATTTAAAACAACATACTATACATCACCTAATAGAAATTTTCCCTCTAACACTTAAGGCGGCATCAAATGACTGTTTTTAAATAAACTATAAATATCCCATGTTTTCCTTTGCTTTTTGGCAGTCCAAGCATTAGGGGTCTTTTGTTGGTTTTAGATTTTCTTTTTTTATTGTACACTTTTTTGGGCAGGTTAAAAAGGCTTATGGCTTCTTAAGGCCAGGTAATAGATTTGAGGCCTAACTTGGTATCCTGTGGTAAAAATAAATGTAGCCCAGGTCTTTGGGAGGTCGTTCTGAGGCACAGACTCTAAGGTCATTGTAGATCACCCATCTGAAATGAAAACAAGATTGATTACATTCCACGTGTATAAAAATCATCACAAGTTTATCAGGGACTTCTCAGATCCAAACTTCAAAGAGCTTAAAAACTAAAATTAGACAACAAAAACAAAAGATCAGAGAAACAGCACAAGCAGGTTTACTAGCAGAGTCAGAAACTGAAAAGGAAGAGGAACATGCAGAGGAATCAAATGAAGGAAAATCAGGGATTCCCAATGCCAAATAATACGACCATATCAAAATCACAGCCAAGATCAGCACCACAGTACTAGCAATACTAGTATCAGCCCATAGTTTGATGGGTTTCTATTGATGGTGAATGAAAGGAAGTTGGGGGAAGCTCAGATAAACAAAACCAGATACAGAACTGATGCCCCAAGATGAACAGAGATTTGGAACAAGCACAGGAGAGCCGATGGTATGCTTCAGCATACACCTCAGCAGAATCAGAACCGACTCACCACATCTACAATCTGTAACAATCTTAAGTTCTTTGGTGCGAAATGTATACATGGTAACAACACGTGTGTTTTGTCTACCATGAATACACACCCTGCTCTGTACGATGCATGCGTCAAAGAAAACATTTGCTCATCCTTGTGTGTCTCTCCCAATTACACTCACCTTCCTTCTTTTTTGAGATGACAAACATAGTGGCCACTCATTGTGGATGTTCCCATGTGGCTGATGAACCCAAACAGCTCATATCCTGTTTAAGAAATACAAATGGGACCATAAGTGTCTTACTGCTAACATTGCAATATGACTCCGGGGAAACTTTCTTTTCAGTACTGGAGAAGCAGCTAAGCACTCCTAACTCAGACTCTGCATCCCCAAACAGTTTCTGTTAAGACTGCAGCATATTCTCACTTTAACCAGTGGTCAGATTCACTGTCAAACATCAAACCAATCCAAATCAAACCCAGATAGATCTGTACACATACAGCTGGGCTATGATCACAGCCCCTACCAGGAAAGGGAAAAGAGCAGATTCATTCCCAGTTCACAGAGAGCACCACAGAAAGTGCCAGAGGAAGGAATTCATTCTGCACACAAATTAGCTCTACGTATGATCACAGATCCCCTATTAATCAAACAAAAACCAGAAGTTTATACTTCAGCAGCCCATAAAAGAGAGGACAGGAAAGAAACCTCTTCCTTTAACATGAGGACAATTTTTGTGCTTAATGTCTCCAGAGAACTCAGCATTGGTTCTTGCTCCCCACCCATTCATGCCGTTCACCCAAATTACCACCAAAAGCAAAAGGGTACCTTCTTTCAGGATATTGCATAAGGACAGGGGCCTGGATTTTGGTGGAGAGGGCTTTCTGGAGTCATTTTACAGTATCATGTTGATTATCAGGTTTTCAGGCACTCAGTAAATGGTCTCAGTCTATAAAGGCTAAGTACCACAAAAAATAATTATTCGAAATAATTTTTTTTAACCTAACGATAATCAATGTTTCCCATGTCTCCAAGAGACTTAAGATTGGTCTTTATAATGTTAGAAACAAAGAAATGAATATTCTTATATCATAACAGCAACCACAGAAACAAAAAATCAAATTGCCTGTTAATTTTTTTTTAATAAGACCATTACAGTCAAGATCAGAAGTACAAGTTTAGAACATACTACAGTTATTAGAATTGGTCACTAAAAATCCTCCAAAAACCGTTATGTGATAACCTTTATTAGAACCACCACTGAGCTTTTGTACTCTGTTGCTTTTACACTTACAATAGGTTAGGTTCTTTGCCTGCTTCACAACTCTGCTGTACATTAGCCCCATCTTGTGGTTTATTTAGCAGTAGCATGACTGAGGATCTCAAAAAACCAAAATGGCAAAGCAGGACATGTAGGATACCAACTATACCTGCCATATTTAGAATAAGGAACTTGGTTGGAGGGATTATCAAATCTCCCATCAGACCACAGGAGGACAGAAACTCAGGTGGTTTGTAACAGCAGCGTTACCTTTAGGATGCTCAGCCTCTGAAGATTTAAACATTCTAGCTTTTCTTTGTCTTTTTCTCTTAGAGCAACAAAACAAAAAGTAAAGCTAGGCCAGGAGAGACTTATATGCTGTGGCAACAAGAAACTTGGACTCCATTTATTCAGTGAGTCCAGAGAAAGAGTTTTCTGAGCAAACACAGCCCACAGAACTTAACAGCCCCACAGAGCTAGACTCGGCCCCAGAAGCAAGATTGGAAGTAAATTGTCTGGATCATGTCCAAAAAACCACAATAACTACTTTCAAAACAGAAAAGAGCTCTATGAATGGCATAGGTGTGATGCAACAACATGGTAACCAGTTCTAAGCTGAAGGAGAACTTACTTCCAGACCCATCTTTGATCCTGGGTCCCTCCGATCCTGTCTCTGCAAGGATATTGGCATTAGCATTGTTCTCCATATCCATCATGTCCAAAGCAGGCTCAGTTTCTTCCTCGAGTTCAGGGTGACTGAAGATCCATTCCAGTGCACGCTCCAAATTATTGTTCTGTGAGTTAAACAAGCAAAAGAGCAGCATTGAATACATGCTCTAGCATGCTACCACTCATTGGTCTTTGAACACAGTAAGGATCATGTTGGACAGCACTTAAAACTTGTAAGATACATACTCTACCTCCATGGAAAATAGTGTTCAACAAGCACTCTGCAGAAGCTTGACAGATGGAAAAGAAATCCTCCCACAACTAATCCCTATGGCCCCCGGGTTCTCATCTTAAAGATGCATAGTCTTTAGGCATCCAGGTTGTTTCTCAACAGATGGTACAAGAAGCTAAGTATTCCTCACTGTCCTCCACACTTTGACATTCATGTGAAACACACAAACCACCTTCCCCACTCTAACCCAGACAAATCAGGCATCCCACGCTTTGCCAGATAGTTCTATGTGCATCACCCACTAACTGGATTTTTATATGCATGTTTCAAAGGCGTCTGAGCATGCACATGTACAAAGCACATAATATGAAATGGAACCCATGTGCTACCAATAACACATGGAACTCACTGTTGCCTTCAGTGCTTGAATTGCTAGATTCCTTTGGAAGCCCATGGAAATGATAATTGCAACCATCTCTTCGGGAGGTTGGTTATCTAGCCCAACAGCTCCAAACACAGCTGCTCCACTGGAAGCAACTTCTCCAAATGCAGGTATGACCAATGGCTCAGCAAAGTCTGGAACAAACAAACATTCATCAGTTTGTTCTTTTGCCTCACTGAACTGGAAAGTCAACAACACAAACAAACAACAAAGAGGACCTCAAAAGCAGTCCTGAAATCAATGTAAGTTCATTTCACTGACCCAGTTGGGACTTAGATGTGTGGAAAGCCTTAAAAACAAGAAAATGAACATGCACATTACAAAGTATCTAGGTGGACAAAATACTGAGCAGGCTGGAACAACTTGGCACATCACAGAAGTGAAACAACTGCAGGAAAGCAGCAAAGATTGATATGGAAGCAATGATGACACCAGAATAGTAGACAACCCAGCTGATACGCCTATAGATGTAAAATGAACTGATTCCATGGCTGATATATGTCAGTCAAGCTCAAGTGGAACTCATTTCTCATTTACACAGGCAACACAAAAGCCCACAGTGAAGTGTGAACTCAACCAAATCTGTTTCCTCACAAAAGAGTGCTCAGCTATACTCAGTGCTGAATCATGAGTCCAAACACTGCATGGATGAAACACAGGGAGTGGAGAACATCTAGCAGCCCTGTCCATCAGTAAATAGCCCAAGTTCTAAGTACGGCATGAATGCTCTAGCCTGAGCTAGAGAAGGCTGACATGGTAAAAAAGCATCCAGACCACAGGATTCTTTGTACTTACATTTGATCACAAGTCAGCTTCCCCCTTAGCAGCACGGACCTAGCCAAAGGGTGGAAAACAGTGAGCTGGCCCACACCATCAGTGAGGACAGGAGAGTGTACTTCCAATGTAGCTTAGGTTTGTTTTCTTCTAGGCAGAGGATGCCACATAATGGTCAAGATCTGCATATCCCAGGAGCAGCTTAGGAAAATTCACTCACACCTCCAGGTTTCCTGGGGTGGGGAAGGGGGCCGTTGTTTCTCTGTCACACATTATAAAATTTCTACTGACTGCCAAAATGCACAACCAGGAGCTGAGTTTAACTTACACCTTCCAAACACTGACCTGGTTCTTCCATGTGTGCAATGATCCAGTTGAAAGCGACTTCAGCACCCAGGTTGCCTGTGTAGTACACAGCTTTCCGACACGCTTCCAAAGGAAAACCCATCTCGGCCAGTTGCATAACTGAAGACTCATCAATATCTAGAGCTACAAGAAAGTGCCTTCTAAAATATAAAAGTCTAATTTCATCCATTGTATAGTATTTCTTATTGTTATTCGTGGTGCCACATATTAACAATACATATCTCTTGGATTTGTTTTAGTACTGCAGTAAACCCACACCCATTAGAAAACAGCCTTGTACAAAGCATTATAGTATTTGTTATGGACTTACTGGCAATCTTTTGTCTCAGTAATCTACATAGATCCTTAAACCTTGATGAATTCCTACAGGACTATTTATTAAGAAAACTCACCACTGGATTTCAAGGGGTGAAGAAGTTAGGTGCTGAGCTTGGCTAGAGATGGCAGCCAAAAGCAATCACCTCTCAAAGGCAGGATCTTGCAGGTGAGAGAAACAACAGCTGCTGGGATCTAGCAGTCTCCAGTTGAACTTCATCTCTGAACGACAGGGCTTGACAGCTTCAGCTGAGATCAGAGTCCAGAGGGAGCCAGGATCAAGCAGCTGTGACCCCCCAGAACTGCAAGATCCTGCTGAGCAGCAGATAGAGGAGCAGCTCATATTCTGGCTATGCTGATGCTACTACAGACTCTTCAAGTGTGCTGCACACATGGAAGTAAATGCTGAACAAGTACAAAAATCAGCTGTTATTTAGAAGCATGCAGGGCAATACTTCATGCATCTTTATGAGGAGAGAGAAGCCATTAGCTGAGCAAAAGCATCACAATTTTTTAAGCAGCTGAAATACCAGTCTCAGAAAAATGAGATACGTACACTCCACGAAATGGTTTGTCATACGATCTGAAAATTAAGAAAGGAAAAAAACAGGGAAAAGGACTTATATGAAAGCTAAGTAGATTCATATGGGGAAAAAACAATTCCATATTTTTAAAGTCATAGAAACATTTGAGCTCATACAGGCAGGGCATGTTCTTGCTTAAATCCCATGTTTTTGCCATGAATTAGACCCGGGATGTTTCTGCCCAATAATTTCCGTAACTCAAATCAGAGCAAAAAGTGTCACTGGTACTATAAACCTGTAGGAAACATAGCTGATGGCTGATCTAAACCAACTTAAGCAACAATCTGTTTTGTTATAAATAAGGTACCATCACCCATGCATTTACACTAAAACTAGGTCAGTCCATTAAGCAAGAGGATAAAAAAAGAACAAGCCCTTGTAAGGAACCTACAGATAAGGGACAAAATTAAAACCATTAGAGAACTGAATTTTGCCATAGCCTTTGCTCTGACACACAATTTCAGGTATTAGCTTCCGTTCACATACAAACATCTTGATATATACCACCACTATTATAAACATCCAAGCAAATGGGGCAATCATGTCATGAGAATAGTTACATTACTGGTTTCCTATTAAATACTGAGGCACCCAAACTTAAGGTATCTAGAGAAAATTGCAACAACCTGGGTCTAAGGTCACACTATAAAAACATAATTTGACTTGCTATAAACCATTTCATTCTCCAGAGAAACCCAGAGAATGAGGAAGGAGGATATTCTAATATTCTTGTTTCTGAACTTTAGCATAAAAGAAACAGTATTTAAGGAAAAAAACAGTATAGCATGTTAATCACTCCTCTTTCTTTCTGCTCTACAAATATTTTAGCAGCTTGACATCAGCTCCTGGAGACAGAGCCTTTTTTAATGGGCTGTATAGCCCACGTACATCCAGAAAAGTGGACTATGCATGCATGCACAGCTGCTAGGGCCTACTGCAACTTAACAATTCTTGTAATTTAAAAATTAATAAGATTTTGAATCTTAACCTATGCCTGGAAAGCTGTTTTCTTAAATTGTAGTCCTTTGTGTATTAAATATTGTTGTACTGTGAATGAATCAATTCTGCAGACGTGGTGTGTTTGTCGTTCCACCTTGAACCAAAGTGTTTCAAGCTATTCAAGTAAACTCTGAAACTGAACAGAAAACCATCTGCTCAGAACTGTAGTGATAAAATCCTGCAGCAAATAATCATAGTAACTGACAGATTTTAAAATTCCTTCTGACCAGGATGGACCATATACTGTACCCAAGGGAGTACACAAGAACAGAGATTGATTTAGCTACAGTACCACCCAGACTACTTTATCACCAGGTTTTAGACAAAATTTAATACACAAGTGCTCAAAAGATAACAGCAGTTCAGTAACACCTCTTATGCAAATGTAAGAAATGAGTGGATTAATGTTCTAACCCACTTCTGACACCTGTCATGAGACTCAGTGTAGGGGTCTGAGACCAAGTCCTTTGCACCAGCCTCTCCAGGATGATTTATGAACTTGGGAAGGCTCACTAGGCCTTCGCATAAGTGTAAGCAACCCTTGACTGTGCCAGGAACTCTTATACAGCTGAGACAGGGAGATATGTTGTGCGTCTCAAAGACTCCTGCTGCCCGGCGAAGGTGGGGGGGACAGGGGTAGAGACAGCCAGTTCTCTCTCTTAAAAACCTCAAGACATCACAATCCTCCCCTGACAATCTTGGAGCATCCTGTATCTATGTTTTAAGTCATTCTCAGACAGTCTTGGAATTTTCCAGCACAGCTGGAATTCTAGCAATTTGTTGATAACAAAAGTCAATCATCTCATGAACCTATAAACAGCAGTACTAACTGAGGCCCTCTGAGCAATCCTGGACTGCAGCAGGTTGTGACCAGCATCTCCCTCTGAGTGGGACACCTCTCAGAGCTTGCAAACTTTCCTGTTTGCGAAATCGGAGGTCTGTCGCCAAAAGACGACATGACCTGGGCTGATTCTCTTCGCTCCTTGAGGCTCGACCCTTCGCCCATTGAGACAAATGCTGAGGCATTCGATGTGAATATTTTCACTGACCTCAAGGGGAATTTGTAACAGGTATACTTCTTTTTCTCTCTCTTCTACTCTCTTTTACCCTCTTATATCTCTTAGTGTCTTTATGCATGTGTGTGTACTAACCTAAATAGTCTATAGTAAGTAAGTTATTAGCAAGTATATTATATTAGGTAAGTTATAGCAAGCATATTATAAGTTATTAAGTACGTTATAGCAAGTATATCATAAGATATATTGTAAGTTAATACTTTCAAATTTATACTTAAATTACTGTTGTGATTTTTATTCAACTGTAAATGATTTTTAGGCTGCTATTATACTCATAATCTCTTTAGATATAAACCATTGACCAAGTCTGGGACTAGGAATCAGTCCAGCTGCACCTAGACTCCAACAGGAGTTTAGAAAGCATGGGGGTCTTCTTTGAACCTTGTGACTCAACGGGAGGGTCTCCCTTACCCTTTCCCACATTCCCTTTTTACCCTAATTCATTTTTGGTCCCTATATACATAAGTTTAGTTTGATTCTAATTTAATTTTCCTGTGTGCATTTCACCCATGTACTAAGTAATAAAGTGAACCTTGCCATCGAATTCTGTGAAGTCACACTTTCACATAAATTTCTATTAAATCATTTTTCTATTGCTAATACAATTGGAGGTGATTCTTTAAGCAATCTGAACCACTCTATCTCATTTCTTCTAAATCCTCCCCCACGACAGTGCACAGTGACTTTACTAAAAGGGAGTCACGAACATGCACTGAATGTCAATGAACAGACAGAAGATGCTCTCTGCATGTAGCTGATTTTCATAAATGTAGAGGTCTTCACACATTTCTCTATCCACCTGAGTCTTAGATACCAATCAACATTCAATAAGGATGAGCACAAGGACTTCATCCTTAAGTAAGGATAACCATCCATGCACATGGAAGACATGGAACAATTCTGCTGGTAAAGATGAAGAGATCATAATGCAGCACAAGCTGCTCCACTAACCAGCACTATACTATTGCAAAAGAGGCAACCACCACACAGCAGGGTAAGTAGGAGACTATAGCCAGTAAAGCAAGTGAAATAATCTATTTCACAAAATACGATGTCTATCTTTGGGCACAGCAATTTCATAAAAATATGAATTATTTGGAGAGAGTCCAGAGCAACAGCATCAATCATAAATCCTGAAAACATCAAAGCAGAAAAGCTGGAAGAACTAGGGTTGTCTAACAGGGAGGAAAAAAAGGCTGTGGGGTGTTGTAACACTCTTCAGTTAAGAAGTACAGAGCTGCTTTTTTGTTCATAGCTCCAAAAGGTGAAGATTAAAGAGAATCAGTATGTGCTAGAGGGAAAGGGGAATGCAAGAGAGAATCAGGAGAGAAGTAGTAAATACCTTTTGGGTCATCAGGAATGATAATGGGAGGAGCAATGTCTGGAAGTTCCTCTTCTCCTGGCTGGATACCCCTGGCCCGAAGGTGGCTGATATCTAGGAAGTCTGGCATGTCTACAGAAACATCTACAGAAGCAGAGAAACAGGCTAAGCTTATGAATCCAGCAAAACGACCTCACAGCGCAACCTACCCCTTCAGAGAGGGAACTCTGGTACTCAAGGTACAAGCACAGCCAGGATTCTCCTCCTGAAAACAGTTATTTGAGAAATTCAGAACACTAAAGCGCAATTTAAGTAGGAGGCTAGACTACATGAAACTGCATTTTAACTCCACAGACCTCATGGATTGGTTTAATTTGTCATAAAAGGAAAGAAGATTCATTTAGGATCTTCACAGTATAAACTTGAAACTCAAGCCAGGTCCTCATTATAGGCCAAAGCGTGTACACCTTATAGATTATCTTGGATAGAACGAGAAAAAAGCTAAATATAAAAGGCACATACCAAGCTTTTTGGGTATCCAATCAAGGCCAAAGGTGAATTTCTTTATCTGCACCACTAAATACTCAGGAAACGAAGCAAAACGAGAAGTCCTGGGAAGCACAAGAAATACAATTCATTGAAACAAGGCAACAAAATCACTAGCAGCACAGATTTCAGTACCTCATGCACAGCGAGATGAGTAACTTTAGCCCTGAGTGAGATCAACAGTGATGGATTTCATAAACATAAATTTCACAAAAATGTTTTCAAGTACAGTGGAGAAGTATGGTAGTAGCTTTCTATTCATTCATATCCTGAATGTCAGTCCAAACCCTTGCAGATAATTCAGCTTGTAGGAAGATTACAGAAAACTACTAGAAGTAATATTAAACTTGAACAAGCAAGTTGTTCTGAAGTTGAATGTCAGGTAATAAATTTGAATGACGTATTGGCTAGAACTTCAGGGCATGGGCTTAAAACACATCTTGGACATAACAGAGTAACAATTAAATCTGCATTTTATTCACTCCCTTTCTAGTAACAGTAGCATTGTCCATGAGTTATCAGTCCACCTGTAAAGCATTTCATTAAGCAAAGATAAAAAAAAGTTGTCATTTGCAGTTTTTCACATGAAAGTGCTATATAAAAAAAACCTACATGATATTCTTATTGAGCTACTATAATATTTATCAAAATAGAGGATGACTCTTGAGTTTAAGGGGATCCCTGGTATTTGTCAACTTAGTGAAAAGAAAAAGTTTAATCTTGAACACAATGCAACATTATATGTACCACCATTCTCCATCTCTATGCTCCCATCTTTCCCACATTTAATCTTCTGCATCGTTCCCTTTACCTTCCATTCACACATACCATCCTTTCTTCTAATTCACCTAATTCTGGGTAAAATACAGTAAATGTGTCATAAATACAAGGCCCTCCTACCATACTATAAATAAGTACTTTCTAAATTCTTCTTAGCACCATCTTGCAATTTTAGTAACTTTATCTGTGGCACGAAACTTTTGAATTTTAAATAGCAAATTATTCTTCATCTTTCTAGGTTTTATAGACAGACCTAGGGGATAAAGAACAGCTACATTACAAATTAACCCTGGATCTATTTAAAGATTAGAATGTTCTTCCAACATGTTCACAGTTAATGCAAAAAAACTTTAGATTTCTTCTGCATTTTTTTCCACCATATCCACTTGTCTCCCAATTTTTAATACAAGGTCAGTGAAACTGTATGCTAAGACAGCAATGAGTCATTGATACGTTAAGCAATCTAAAAATAGAAGGTACCTAGCCACAGCAAACCAGTTGCAGAGCCCAATTTTCAGCCACTCCTTGCTGCTGACATAAAAATGGAACCAGATAAGAGATTAACTCTTGTTCTTAGCAAGAAGTACTGCCCCTGAAAATTGCACTGATCTCTACATGCCATCCTATTTCTTCTTAATGCTTTTTTTAAGCCCAAGATGATCTTGGTTCTTTTATCTACCTGATTATAAACACACAAGGTGGGTTCCTTCTTTTATATATCCATCTTGTACCATGGCTCCATGTAAGTGACAGCAAACAACAAATGCAACCAAACACCGGAGCACACAAATGTGGTAGGGTTGAAATCCAAATATAAACAACAAATAATGTAAAACATAATAACAACAAAGTTTTCAGCATAGCACTTCACAAATGCAGAAATTTCCATCCATCTAAAGAACTTACAAGAAACACAACCTTTGTTTGCTTCACCCTGTTTTGCTGCCACACAATGCCCATCAGCATTTTTAGTCAAATGAAGACATCGACTAAGCACTGAGATCCAGACTTATTTCCTACCACGCAATACAGAGCTCTATCGCTAGTTGAGACATAGGATCCAATTTTAAAATGTGGGCAGACAATTAAGCTACAAGCATTTAAAGTTCAAGCTCTTAACAACTAGACCGCATCACCTCTTGGAGTTTGACAGTTGAGAACAATTTATTTCCTGTTCAATTGATCATTACAACTCTCATCAGACTTGATCCGCACATTACATTTATGAGCCCAGACACTAATACAATGCCAAAGCCCATGGCCTTTGTCTATTTCTCTCTGCATCATGTTCAGGTAGCAAGATAAGCACAGAACACCACCATATAGTTTTTTAATAAGCAGCCACACACACACTTACTTAACTCCTGCAGATTTTGCTTGAAGGGCACTGCTCCAGAAATCCTCTACGTTGTTTGGTTCAGAAAAGGCCTGCAGACACGCGCTAAATGGTATCTTGGCACGGACAAGCTCTGGTGGAGGTCTCCTTGCAGCTTCTGCTTCTCTCCTCTTCAATTCATAGGCAATTAATTCATCTGAGAAATATATGTGACACTAAAAGCTAAATGAACATTGCCATGGTTACGATGTCCCACACCAGTCTTATTTTTGCAAGTTTTAGAAACGCAAAAACCTACTTATCAATAAAACTTTTGCATGGTTTTAACTACACATCAAATCTTTTAATCTGCGTTGGAGGCAGGAGCTACACTTACAACCACACCTCTTTTTTGAAGGTTTCTGTTCATGTGAAAACACAGAACTGGCAATACTGGGCAACAGGCAATTAAAACTTTGCCATGACAGCCAGAATCTTGTGTTGATAGTAACACCAACTACCCACTTTATCAGCTCAATCTGACTTGGAAAATTATTGCTGTCTATCTGTGTCATCTGACCTTCTAGACAGGACAGGATTATGTATGATGTAGAAAGAGTCCTGACACTAGCAAGTTGATCAGCACCATATAGTAAATTCATAAACTAATATACCTCCTGAGCCATTACCTGGAAATAACATGCTCTTTTATAAGCAACAGAATCATCACTGAAACCGATGAACAAAGAATGTGAAATCCTTCAAAACTTAAATTTTCAAGTCAAAATGGTCTTTTTAAAATATATTGTTCAGTTCAAGGAGTTGCGGGCTAGGTGAAAAGCAGTTGGTGGAATTCTGTGTCTTGTGCTATTACAGAGGATCTGATCAAATAATCAGAACAGTTCGTTCTCACTTTAAAATATTTTAAATGTTGAGATTGTGTAGGAAACCAGAGACACACACCCCTTCTAGTGTTCCTGTGATGTCCCCTTCACTTCCACCTCAAGCATACATTTATTATGTTAGTCTGCAAGACTCTTCACCAACTGCAGGGGCAACCAAGATTTGTCAGTACCTCCCTCCTGCTTCCAAGTCTTCTAGCCTCCTCAGCCATTTTCTCCTTTAAAAACAAGTATGCTTTCTCAGGCAGCTCACAGGCATGAAAAAACCACTCTTGTATATTAAATCAATGTCCACCACTTCATCCTCCTTCCCTCCTCTCCTGAAGCCCAGGATATCCAAATTGTGTATTTTGGCTTTATAGACGACAAACTATCTTATACCCCTATTGTCTATTATCACATTAAATCTTACAATCTGCTGCAAAAGAACACAAAGCTGATTTGGGTTTTTTTGGTTGTTTTCTTTTTATTATTTATTTTTTGTGAGTGTGTGTTTGTTTTAACAAGATATTCATTAGCTAGTATGTTCAGTTCCTTTTTTAGAATTAAAGAAGTTTTTATATACTGGTTCACTGTCCAGGACAAAGGAAATCTAAACCTAATGGGAATCTTTGGGCACACACATGCACAAAACCCAAGGGTAAATAAAGTGTACTATAAGTGGTGTAGCACATCTCTAGGTCAAAACCAGGTTAAAGTTTTAAATCACAGATCTCTGACATCTGTGTCATACAAACTGCTATCATTCTTGGTGATATATTGCTGAGTGATGACACTTAATGGTGGTCCCACAATCTGAGAAGAAATCTGTCTGAAAACTTGCCAAGAGTATCCAGGTAGAATCCTTCTTCCATAAAAATATAAGCAGGGATGGTAAAACCACTGATGTGTGTTTAAAATCTCCTTTAAAAAAACCAAACAAACCAAGTAACCTTCCCCTGATCATTCATTGGTTTTATTTGTTACTTGGCCTTGAACCATTCTATCCATATAAAGAGACCACAAAGGGGTGAGAACTTCATTCCCTCATGATTGAGAGTCATCAGAAGGTCAGTCAATAGACCAGTTTTTCTTTACCTTTGTTTGTCGCTGCCTCCATGGCAACAGGTAACTGCATGATATAGTCCACCCTCTCTGTGTAGCGGACCTTTCTGGACTGGCAGCATTGTGTGCGTTCTTCCACCAGGAACCGGAAAACATCACTAGGATTTTCTGAACCTACAGGGTTTCTCTGAAAGGAATATTAGATCCAATGATTTAAGTGACGATCATTAAAATGACCAGAGAACCCAAAGGCTGCTGGTTGTTTTATGGCAAGAACAAAGACACCAATCTTGCATCCAGATCTGGCAGCTCAGCTTGCATTTTATTGCATGCAGAACTCTTGCACCCACAGAAAATCCCACTGAAGTCCACAATGTCTGCATACACAGCAGTATCTTTCTACACATAGTAACTTGCAGAGTATGTACCTAATGAATCTGACTGAGTCAAGGTGAACAGAAGAAGGTAGGAAGGTGGCAGGTTACAATAAAGATAGAAAGCTCAGGTAAATAACATGGGGCATCATTTCAGCAAATAGAATTGCTCCTACCACTCTGAATCTGCACTGAAACAGAACAAGCAACTTGTAGTTTATTATCCAGATGAGAATGTCATACAAATAATATACCTCCTCTTTATTGTTCATGTTAATGTCTGTTATCAGGCAAAAGCCAGAAAAATGTCTTCTAACCACCCTGTAATCAGTACATGCATTTTGAGATGTGAAGTATTATGCATGCAAATGTGAGTAACTTCATCTAGACTGTAATACATGAATAAACACCCTTGATTCTCGGGGAAAATGGGAAAGAGAGGGAGAAAGGATGGACAAGAAAGAAATGCTTTAAATCAAAACTGCATGTATTTGCAAATTTCTTTTTCAGAAAGACAGCATTAAAATTCACACTACTGATTCTTTTACACACAGCATTGAGCTGGAGCTCAGTGGAACTAACATTTTAAACAGAAATATTCAACTAGTCATTTTCCTTTCAGCAGGGGAATCCTTCCTCACATAATGATTCAATGACGTACAGCTGGGATTTGTAAAAGAACTGGACATGGTAATTAGTTTGCTCCCAACCACAATATAAATTTGGAATAATAATAATACCCAATTCATTAATATTCCAGGACAGACTTCAATAAGCGAAACAAATAAGTAGCATGTAATCATAGAATGAACAGCAATTTAAAAGGACAGTCACATATATTTATAAATCTTAGAGCCTGTACAGCGATGATTGACCTCTCTATATCTCTTGCAGTTGTTATCAGCAGCATTGGCCCTGAGTGTGGTCATGCAAGAGTCTGAAGTAAAGAGAAGGGAGAATTAAGGAAACAAATGTTTCTAAACCAAAATATATTTTAATTAGTGTCATTTTCTAGATATCCAAGGCTAAAAAGAGTATAATAAAAAATGAACCACTCAAATAAAAGCTCTGGCCTCTTTGTCTAATATAAGCAGGGAAAAGAAGCAGTAATTCAGATTTTCTCACCTCTACGAGATTTATAAGATGTAGGAAAAATTCCTGTGCGTCTTGTTGTCTATTAGAGGAAAATTCTGGGTGGCCTTTACTTATAAAAGCCTTAAACATTCGTGGAGATATTCCATTGTGTTGAGGCTAAACAAAAGAAAGAGAAACCTTTTAAAGAAAGATTTTTATTCATTCCTGGACCAAATACCCCAAGGTCACTCCACCAGATCTATCTGTGGCCCATTTCTGTCACTGGAGAAATGATAGTTTCAGTTTCATCTGGTTTTCAATTTTAATAAAAATGGAAAGGGTCCTGAAACATGATTTGGGGGTTTTAGAATATGTTTTATGACATAGTTCCTACAGCGTTCACTCTGACTTTTCTATGGCATTTGCAAGAGATTAAAAGAGATTACTGAAGGTTTGCTAAAGGTTAGTAGTTTTCAGAAAGGCTAAAAACCTACACTGTTTTCTAACATTTGACATTCCTTTCAGAACCCTGTTCCACCTAAAAGTATGTGGGCATTGAAGCACTTTGGTATATCAGCTAGCAGCTTTACTCAGGACAAAACCTTTCTAAAGATCTCTACAGAATCAAACAGAGAAGTAATGTGTGCTGCATGCATTCCCAGATGGGTTAAGAGTAGACATGAATTTGCAATTTGCAGGTGTTGGTCATTTTGAGGGACCATAACATACTGCCTTTAGCCATTCAGTTACATCAGTAGGAAACTACACTAAATTAGAAAGTCTCTAGCTTCCAAGAGTCCTAGTGTTGACTTTCCCACCCTCTATACCACTTCAGGAAGCCTCCCCAACCACCCCAAACTGCATCCTCAAGACAACACTAAATATTATGCCTTTCAAATAACACTTTTGACAGGGTCAGAATCTTTTACTCAGATTTGCCCTTATCTTCCACAAGACCAAATAATTTTCAAGAGAATTCAAGCAAAGACGTAGCCTTTGGGATACGTCAGAGGCTGTTAAACACTCAGCCAATCTCATTCTTTACTACAGTTGCACTATTATACCAATAAAAAAAAAAAATAGAAAAAGCAGCATGAAATGGAAGGCACATAAAACACACACTAAAAGAGCAAAATTTTATTCTTGGTTTCACCAGGGTAAGGTATTCCTAGACCCATTGAAATCGGAAGCAGATTCTCAATTTTAATGCTTTTTCAATTTCTGGCAGTACACCAGCAACCACATTAGGCTAAGATGCTCTTTAAAGGCTCTCGTAAAGAGACAGAATCTCAGTATTGCTTGAACAAAGAGATGTTCTAGGGATTTCTGAATCTGGGGTTATATATCACTTTAGTGTCTTCAGCTGCCTTTCATCAAAGCTAGGACCAGGGAGAGAAATGCATAAACCAGCTCAAATTACTATATACCAGGCTTCTTTCTATGTCAGAAGCAAGAATATGGCAAGGTTGCACATTTGCCCTGATGTATAATGCAATGAGTTTGGAATCAAGCCTTGTTTCCACCTATACATTTTTTACCCAGCCATTTGAGCAGGGAGAAGAGAAACATGCCATGTGTGACAGTCTATAGAAGAGGATTGCATCTTGCCCTCTAAACACTTTCCACCTCAAGGACAAGAAAAATAACAGAAGAAATGGCAAAGCTCTAAGCAGAAAATCAAGTCCTAGCTGATGACCCTTTAGGCTTTCAGCCTGTTTTTAATGTTAAAGTGGGTCCATGAAAACTGCTGCCATTTCCAGACTAAACTCCTGTGGTGAAAAATTTTAGCTTCACAGTACCATGCATATTTATAGAATACCTAGCATACTTTCCCCATCAACAGTTGCAAAACAGTTTAGCTAAATATAGACTGTGCTGGACCACTGCAGATCCCACATGAATGCTTTTACAGGCAACAACTCCCCAAAACTTTGGATGCATTCCAAAGACCCAGAAAGCCAGAGAACTTCTTTGCATGTAGGAGGGGAAAAAAAGGTAAAAGAAAAAAGTAAAATGAATAATTTATTTTACAGACACAAAGCAGAAGCACTTGAAAAGACTGAAGGCCTAAAATCCTATGAAATTATATTTATTATAAATGTCAGTACAACTCCTTGGATGACAAAATACTATCTGTATGTATACCAGCATTATGGGGGCAGGGGAATGCACCAAACAAAAAAAGCACCCCCAAACTGACAAAACAGATTTGTACACCCAGAGTGAGGGAATGGAAAAAAATATCTGTCTCTGATTTGTTTTTCTAAATAAATCTTCAATACGACAATGGACAAAAGCAGTAAAAGCTGTTTCAAATCCTAATACATGCTATGAATTGCTTGATAAGGAAGTCATCTGATGCCTGTAACTATAACTTTATTAAACTGAACTTATGAACAACACAATTGTTGTTAAATGGCAGTAGATGACTACTACTACTTGACAAAGTTTTATACCATCTGCCATTAAAAAGTTCTCAATATCTTAGTAGTAGTAGTAGTGGCTGCTGGGCTAAACATGGAGGTGTAGCTTTATTCAAAGGGTTCAAGTCCCTGAGCTTCCAGAACATTATTCTTCATTCATATCCTGGATGAGTTTAAGAAAGCAGGTCAGTCAGTATACATAATTTAATGTGAGGAATCTGTTGAAATCTATGCCACTATTCCTTAGCCAGTTAAGTTTTAAACTTTAAAGGAAACAAGCAGGATTCATTTCTTGTTCCAAAATAATGAATAGCTACTATAGAAAGCAATCACTCAAGAGACACAGGACTTTCAGATCATGCAAACTACTCTGTACCAGATGCTCTCTTTGTCCAAAATTTCCTTGGCATTCTGATTTCAGAAGGAGAAATTTCTATATCAATAACTGATAGATGAAGGTAGAGGAAAATATCTATTCCCATGGAAACTATTACCATGCTTCTGTGACAGAAGCATGCATGACTTCTACTGTGTATAAAACTACAACTTGGTATCAAAGATTCTTTCTCCATAAAGACAGCTCTTTTCTATAGGTAGTATTTTCAGTATTGGTTATTAGTTGACCTTTCATTTCTAAATATCCCATCTGTGGAGTCTGTGGTTTGACTCCACATGCTGCTTGGGGTCACAATAACAGAGGCTGGCAGGGACACAAATATATTCTAGGTCCAGTTTTCCCAGCATCAGTCTAAACAAGATGTTTCAAGGTAGATGATTTGAATAGTAAAACAAACCTAAAATAACAGATTCACTGGGTAGATAACATTGTCCCAGTAACTAACACCTTGCTTAAGACAACTGTTAATTGGATGACTCTAGGGAAAACAAAGGCAATTCCAAAAGCAGCAGAGTTTGAGCAGAAAGGCAAAATCTGAACTAATCTCACTCTCCAAAAGCTGATGGAAACTTAAACCAACTTACAAAAAGAGAAGAAACTTGTCCATCTCACCACTAAGTTACTGACAGCTTTTCTTCTTCACAAAATGAAGCAAGAACAGGTAAAAAGATAAACCAGTCATTCAGGCAGTGCCCATTAACCTTGTTAATACAAATAGATCAGTCAGGTCTTTGTCAAAAATCATCCTTACTGCTAAAACCAAAAGACTGTTGGACAAAGAATATGAAGAGGCTTTCTGATGACTGTGAATGTATTTGTTGCTGGAAGAAGAAAAAGCACAGACAGATGAAGACACTCGTCTATGGATGTTACAATGCCAACACATGCCTTAATGATTTTTGCAGTGTAAGAGAAACAAGCAACTTTCATGTTGCAGAACACCACCACAAAGGCAAAATGAAGATTACAGAACCAACAATACTGGAGTTCTCAAAGCTAGATACTAGCTAGATATTGTGAGCTAAATATGTGTTTTGCTGCACAATTACTGCAAATTACAGTAAAAATAAAAGGACAGTCTCCCACTGATAACACTCACTATGACAGAGACATAAAACGCTGTATTATATAAACATGGGGAAAAAAGGTTATTTTATCCTTCAATTCCTCTCTCCTTTGTGTGCAGCATGTTAGCTATACAGTACTTGCCCCTCAGTATACCTTTGTTCTGAAATTGCCTATTCTGAGAAAGCTGATTCCGAGGGTTTTTTTTCTATTGTGAATTATTATAGATCAGGATATATACATTGTTCTCCCCAGGATGTCCAGCAATTAGAGTTTCAATTTATATCCAAAACCAGATGCACTGCTGTGTTTCCAGGATAGGTCCCCCTGGCACAGACATGCTTCTGCACGATTTCTGTACCATGAAATACTTGAATAAAGCCCCAGTGGACGTGGCTCTGCATGGCCCCTCCTTCATCTACATGAAAGCCTCCAGCACCACTTAATCTTGCATTACCTAGACAGCTTCTCCTGAAATCAGGTGGAATATTGTGAGACACTTCCTGGAAACAACTCTTTAGCTCTTTATACTTCTTTATGAAATTTAAAGAGGGTTTAGAGGTTTGTTTCCAAATACTCAGGACTCTCTAGATAACATTTTTTTGTTGTTGTTCCAAGAAAATAAACATAAGCTGCAAGTTCTGTGAACTTTCACACTCATCACTGGAGAAGCAGAATACTTTATTAGCAGAACCAATGGTTGCTTTAATGCTTTGCACAAATAGCCCTTGACTAATATATTCCTGACTAGAATCCTGCACATTCCACCTTGCTAAGCATCCCATGCTGGATCCACATGTGTTCTTCAATGCCCAGCACCTGTTCCCTTTTCTCAGGATATCACTTTTACCTAGTTACCAGGCTGTACCAACTCAGTCAAATACCTTGTGTTCTTCTTTCATCACCTGCTCAATAAGCTCAGATTTCATGGGTGGCTTAGAGTACTGGCCTGAAAGGAGGCCGTGTCCCAATTTAGCCCTGTAGGGAAGAAAGTGGTGGGGTGGAAACAAACACATGAGAAAAACAGAAGAGAAAAGATTTTTATTCCAAGCAAAAAAGATGTTTACTTTCTTTGACTCCCTGATGAAACATCATTACCTGCAACTAAGCAGGCAAATCTTCCCATTCTACCGTGTGCCATATCTCACTTTCAAGCCCATGCAGAGGTGTTCTTTTGCCCTGCCATTAAATTATATAGATTCTATTTAACTTGATCAAGTAAATCATTGAGAAGTGTCACTTACATCTGAGTGTTGAAATCTTGTGTTGGATCAAGAGGAGAGTAGTCAAATATTCGTGGAAGGTTTCCCACATACCTGGGCAGCAAGAACAAAGCAGAAACATTCAAATATTGCAGCCAGATTTACTCAAGGATATCCTAACAGATCCTCAGCTGTGATACACCAGCAGGCTTCCTCTGTGCTAACAAGTCGAATTTTGCATCATAACAATCTATCCCTGGTGAGTGCTTCTATTGTGGAAAAATAATAGTAAAGAAATTAGGAAATGGACATTTAAGTTTTGCTTAGAAGCTTCTAGCTATAAAGGATATGGTGGTGGTGTTCACCTGGAATTTAAATTCTATTCCTTGATCTTGAAATAGCTGCAGGATGGTGTTGCTCAAAACCATACAGCTGGGTTGAGAACCAATGTACTTTCTACTCCTAACCAACATCACCAAATAAATTCTAAATTTGTATCAGGAAAAAAACATGTAAAAAGAATGTTTCTATTGAGTTTCTTCAGAGAAACAAAGGCTAGTTCCTGACAATAAACACTGAGGTATACATTGTTCCAGGCAGTTTGTTGGAAAGTAAAGCATTTAGTAGCACACTATTTGAACATTGCTTCCTTTGGGCACAAGAAAAAACAGGCTAGGTAGGTATGGCCATGTTGAAAGAACACATCTAAATTCTGCCTGGTCCCTCCTTCATCAAAGATCTTCACTATTTTGTTGATACTAAGTGCTCCAGGTAACTCCAAGGACCATGCTGTGGAAAACAACCTCCCTCAGTAAAGTCCATTTTGATATTTTTCAAAAATTGAGGTAGAAAAGCTGGTACTTACTGAATCTTACAGATTGCACTCCATATGGCTAACAAAGTAAAAAACCACAAGTTTTCTCCCTCTTCTTCTCCAGAAGGCAATTGCTACATGAAAACCTGGGAGGCTTTCCAAAATCTAAAAGCCTTACATCCAGCACACACACTACTACTGCTGTGGAATGAAAAAGCACTCTGAATTTTATTGCAAACCATAGACTGTCCTTTATAAAAAGACTTCTCTCCTTGGAGTGATGTGTTCAGTTTTGATCAGTCAGGAATATTTCATATTCTTCTGTTGTGCTTTTGTCCTTTTACTCTCTTAATTATTCAGTGGAAGAATATGCTTACACTACCCTTTTCATGAAATGAGTTGGTGGTTTTTTTTAATGAGAATTTTAATTTAAAAATGCCTCTAATAGTTGCCCTCTTCTTAGGCAGACCTGCCTAAGTAGGTGCATTACTTTTCACTAGCATGGATCAATATTAACATGTTTGTGCCAGAACAGTTTTTTGCACGAATGACATTGGAGCAATAGAATGATTCCTGCAGCTATATGAAGGCACGGGACAGTAAACCCCCCCCTAATGTGATACTGATGATACTGACATAAATAGAAATATACAGAGATATGTATATAAAAAGCAGAGACAGAGCAATCAAGATTACAAGGTAGCTTCAGTGGTAGGAAATCACATGCCAAGTGAGTAAGTTCTGATTTCAAAGGCAGATTTGGTTTTGTGTTCCAACCTTTTCCAGAACAGAACAATACAATCACTAAATCCTGTAAGCAGCCACTGAACTGACTGAAAGAGACCTGTTTGCAGGCGAGAAAAATTCAAATACCATTTTTACTTAGAAAAACAGGAGACTGAGGAATGCAGCAGCTAGTGACAAGAACTGATTTGAAGCTACTTACGCTCGCTGGAACTCTGGGATGCTGAAAATGGCTTGCATGACAGCATTGAGGTAGCAGCTATTTCCCAAGTTCTTCATGCCGGTGTATCCTGGGCCATACATGGGCTTGAGTTTCACCCCAGCTTCCTGAATCACTTCCCATTCAGAGACTCTTGGTTTTATATCATTATCTCTTAGTCCATTCTCTGTCTAAAAGCAACAAGATTTTTTTTTTAATCTGTTTAATTTCTGCAACAATTATGGTGCTGCTGTCATCATCACCAACTTTGTGATCAATACTCTAGAAAAGAAGAGCCAAACCAATGGGCAAAGGGAAGTAAATCCTGCATGTAGAAGACAAGATCAGGGTCAGAAGGCTAGCAGCTTTTTCTTCCAATATACCTCTTAGTTCTTTACCACAGACCACTGGCTCTTTGACTGTTCCTCAATCCCAGCTGGGAGCTTCACTTCTCTCAGGGCTGTGACCTCAAGCCTCAGCATCAAAACACTGCATTTTTTCAGGTTTCATATTCCATTTGTAATGGCCAGGAATAGCTGCTGCTGTAGAAGCTGGTCCTAGTAAACAAACTACACAAAAAGCTGCAGATCCAAGAACTCTTCCCTTCGTTCAAATGGGAAAAGCCAAAATTTGTGACACTGAAGTTTCTCCCCTTTACAGCTCAGCATTCAGCTTGCAGATACATCGATTGTTCACAGCTTGTAGGTACAGGTCACTGCAGTGTCATTTACTGCTAGCACTACTCCATCACTTCACTAAAAGTTTTTCAGACCCCAGTCAAACAGCTGAAACTAAGTTTTCAAGGTTGCTGAGTAAAACAGGTTCTCCAGAAACACCGCTGGATAAGAGACTTTTTATTTGTGATATTGGCAAGGAAATTAGTATACCAAAAGTAGTATTAGTACCCTGAAGGCTTTTGAAACTGCAGTTTAACTCTTCTCTATCATTTTAGAGTTATTATTAGTTTTCTCTCCACTTGGACAATGAAATACACTAAAGCAGTATCAGGTTTGTTCATTTTTAACAGTTTCAATGTTCAGGTTCTTAGGTAGTGATACTAGGCTACGTGCTTGAGTGAAAAAAAAAAACCAAAAACCAACACCAAAACCACCAAACCAAACCAAACAAAACCCAAACCCCATCTGTCTTTATAACCATATCCCATTCAGACTCCTTAGATCATTTAAACAGAACTGGAATCAACATCCACTGAGATACAAATTATTAAAAGGACTTCTCTACTAATACAGACCCATAACATGTTCAGGAACAAGACCCTTTTTGCCCCAGTCCCTTTCTAGTGTACTACACCATAGACCACGCAGTTTTCTAGACTTGAGAGAATGTATTTTTTCATTTTGTAATATATTTATTAACAAGACCTAAACTGAAATTTGTAACTTTACATAAAGAACCTTTCAACCACTTTACTTATCCATTGCTTAGCTTACTTTTGCTCAAGATTAGTATCTGCTTACACCTGCAATAGGCTTTCCTTCACTCACTGTAATTAAATATTCTAGATATTCTTCTCTAATTGAATGAGGTTTTTCATCTTGAAGGAAAATGGTACATAACACATGAGAAGTGAAACATGTAAACTAAAGACCACAAAGGAACCCTTTTGGAAGGCAACTTTCAGATTTAAGTGTAATGATTCACTCCTCTCAGACCTCAGAAAACAAAACACGAACTTGCTGGCTGAACTTTACAAAACTAAATACTATCATAAGAGTCTGAAGGAAACGCACAAATATAAGCTAAAAGCATCATTCTTCTGTTTCTCTCCCACGCCCAACTAAAGAAACAACAAGTAAACAACAAACTAAATAAAAGACGTATTTCCTACCACTTGCATCTGCAGCATATCAATTCCAAAGTGTGCCAAATGTTTTGCTATATGCGGATCTAAAACCGGCTCCTCTTCATCAAAGGAATAGACATCTACAAAAGCAGAAAGAAACCGATGAGCTTTAGTATCAAATGTTATCCCTTGTCTTTGTTTACCAAAACTGCATTCTCAGTACAGGACTGCCTTATTCATATTCTCCAAGTTTGGTTACAACCAGCAGGAAGATACATAGCCATCCATATAGCTCAGTAAATATCTTATATGTTCTCAACCCAATCACCTCAACTCCTCCCTCAAAAGAAATTACATGCCCTCACAGTATTAAAACCTAAGAATATTTAATAGTGATCACAGTATTCCTGCCCCGTCCGTCCATCCCATCGTGTGTGTGTCCCCCCCCAATAAGAAATTTGTAGGGAAAACAAGGAACGGGGCATGCAAAATTCTCCGATATGTGGCCAGTCCACATTTTGAACATGGCAACAAGAGATTCTGAATTTTTGTGGAGCTACTAGATATGGGCAGACACATTAAAACTGTGAGCATATGGGGCCAACTGACTACTGCCAATGGTATTTTAATATCTAGTACAGTTTAAGGAATCCATTTATGCCCTTTTCCCATGGAGATACAGGGAGAACCAAGACTGGACTTCAAAGATTAATCTTCTGGTTAGGGAGAAAGGCTGATTTCGTGACTGAGGTGTTCCGCTTTATTGTATGGGAGATCTAGATTTCAGTTCTAGCTCTATGATAGGTCCTTATGGCCTTAAGTAAAAGCCCATAAACATTTTGGCAGGGCAAAGTTCAAACTCTAGAGGTAAGCAACGTCTAGTGATGATATTTTCATTCTGAAACCAAGTTTAATAAATTCAACAGAACAAAAAATGGTTGGAAGAGAAAAAAATCCTTTTTCGTGTTTACCAAGCAAGTCCTGTAACAAAGCTGAGTTCAGAGCAGGTTTCACCTACTTAAGCAAGTGACAATAAAGCTGCAGGCATCATAAAAGTATATGAGTGGTAAGACATGCACTATTAAGACTTGAACAGGCCTTCCCTCTTTTTCTCTTCTCTGTCCTCTTCCTCTGTAGTGGATGACTACTTCCCGGCTTTGGTCTCTACTCATACCAAAATCCAGAATCCCTCTGCCAGTCTGCCTGCACTTCTTTCAGCCGTTTCCTTCATGCCCAGCAGAGTTTCTCACAGTTACCTTGCCCCATATGACCAGATCTAGGCTGACAGAGAAAACTTAGCCAGGAGAAAGGTGAAACAAACTCAGGAGAGCAGGAACCCTGATAAAGGCTGTTCACAGCACAAATGCCACTTCTGAAAGGTCCTTACCCTGCTGTCTCCTGGCAACTACAGACCCTGGCTCTGACTCAGCCCATCCCCTATATAAGACTTTAACAAAAAGGCAGTCTCCTTGAAGTCTGCTAGTACCAAACCCACACTGAAATGATAGGTTGAAGGCTAGCCAAGAACTCAAAGACGTAATGCAACTTTTAAAATTTACCAGCCCTATGAAAAACACTAACTCTCTCAAACCAGGGAACTGTGCTTTTGAGTTGCGCTGCCAGCTGCTGATTAGCCATCAGACTCTCTATTAACATTGGTCCTGATGACCTCTCTAGCATGCATGTGGCTGTAGCTGCCCATCTGCTGGAATTCCACTGTGTGGTAGCAAGCGTGCCCAGAAGACCTGACTGTTCATCCACACACAAGAGATCACATTCCCATAGTCTTCTGGTGAGGTCACAGCACAGCCAAAAGATCCTGAAAAATTCAAACACCTAACGGAGTGAGATTACACATCAGCTGATCTTAGGTGACTATTTTCAATGTGGAAGCTTTGCTTTTGTTTCTCCTCAGCTCTGGCAACTGAAGAGAGAGCAGCCATCTGGGACTACTGACCTGGAGCAGCAGAAATGGAACAAGACACATTAATCTTTTCCTCAAGCCCAGCTTGTGCCATATGCTTTAGTACTTAAATTCATGGGAGAGAGACAGAATTCGCTTGGGGGGGGGGGGGGGGGAGGGAAAGAAAGAAAGAGAGAGCAGCAAATCAAGGGAAGATGATGACAGCCCCTAAACACAGGTCCGTAGTGCTGTCATATGGACTCTGGTAGATAAGGAACATAGACAAATCAGCAAAAGTGACACACTAAAGCTGATATCATTAGAGTGAAAAAGGGGAAAAAGGAAGGACTATAAATGGGAAAAAACAAAAAAAACCCCAAGAAAAATCTGAGACAGACAACACAGAATATTATTAAACAGAGAATAATCATTATTATTCATATTATGGTAAGAAAAGAAAAAATGACAATGCTACCTGTACTTCCTTTTTTTCCACAGCTCAAGATTTACACCTATTCTGGCTGTATAGACATCACTCCTTCCTACTTGAAGGGTAACAGGCAATGGCAACACTGTCCCTGAAGGAACAAGTTGCACAGGATCCTCCAAAGTAGTACCTGACAATTGCTGAGATTGGCATCCACGAAACAATTCATTCAAGTACTTGTCAGATAGGGCTTCCCACTGCCAAACCCCCACTCCATTCCTCAAACCAGGTTCAAATATGCAACCTCACAATGACTTGAAATGAAATCTAATGGCATTGTCAAGAGAGGCAGCAGGTAGCACAGTCTGCCGAGTAGTACTCAACCTATTGAAGCAAGCAACTTTTCTGACTCTCTCATGCATCCTGTCCAGATCCAAGAGTGGAAGACAGAAGTTTGGTTCAGTTCCTGCCCTAATCCCAGATCTGTTTGTTGACAGAACACTACAAAATGGGGCTAATGTCCCAGAAATCTTTCATAATGTATGCAACACAGATTTCTCAAGGAAAGACAAGGAGCTCTCCTCTGCTCCCTCTGTGTACACATAGGGTAAGTATAAGTGGAATACCAGCACCACCTCTTTCTCCTTCTTACTGGTGTGAAAAAAGAGTAAGTTATGTCAGCAGAGGGACGAACACTTATTACTCCTCTACCACCACATCTTCACCTCCAGCCCAGGGAAGCAGAAACCAGACAGACTTTGCGTCACAATCAGCCACGGAGCCTCTTTCCTGAAGCTCGTCTGTCATCCAGCCCTATTGAGAGGTTATGATTACCACTGCAATATAGATCAGAGAGAGAATAATTACTGAAAAGGAAACAAGGAGGGTTGGGGGAGGGAAGTCTTTTCTATAGGGAAACCAAGTAAACATCATCCAGAAGAACAAAGGTCTGTGGAGAACAGCTGGTGCCCTCATTCAGAGGGAAGGATGACAGCCTGTCCTTTGTTATCCCAAAGGCCACCCAAGAGAAGAAGTAGCAGCTGATCGGTGGGAGGCAGAAGGACAGCAGCCATAAGGAAACAAGTACTGCTGCTAAAGATGAGAAAGAAAAGAAAACAAAAAAATTGAAAAAAAAACCCTAAAGAATATTCTGTTTATTTTGTAGATGCAGTTGAAACCTACAGCTGGGCAAATCCTAAACACCTTCAATAATTGAGATGTTCTGATAGAAATCATCCAAGACCAGGCTTATGCAAGGAAACAATATTCCATCTGGGAAAGTTCCATCTGGGAAAGAAAAGAATGAATTTTGCTCAGTGTTTCTGTGCCACAGCTGGATGAATCTGACTACAGTCTCCTTTTCCTTGACACTGAATAGGACTTAAAGATGAAAAACTCTCAACTGATGTGTGTTAAAAAAAGGGCTGCTCTAAACACCTATTTTTCATCCATATGGTCAAAAGCACTAAAACCAAAATATAATCATGCTATGTGTTCTTCTGTTTTTTATTTCTCCGTACAGCTGCAGCAAAGGATCTCTTTGCTTATGACTTTTTCAGCTTCTCATGTTTTTACTCCATCTAATCCTCACACACCATAATCTTCTCCACAGCAACACTGCAGAACATCACGCTCCGAGAATAAGCAAACAAGGATACATCTATAGCTTTCTTCCCCTCTCAAGATAATCAAGCGTTTTACAAATGAGCATCACAGCAGCCCCATGAAGATGAGTGTTCATTAGACTGAACAAAATGTTACCAAAACACTAAGGAAAAATAGCACAGTTTCTAATATGACAAAAAACCATACATGCTGTTAAGAATGGACTTTTCTGATTTTAAAAATCATTACCCTGTTATTGTTTCTATGTTACAGAGGATTGAACTATTTGCCCTAGCAAATGTAGCAGAACTGAAAAATACTGTTTCTCTGGATTCTGCTGTTTTAAAATAATACCATTCTTCTATTATAAATCTACTATTATATAAACCCAAAAAACTATTTACACCAAATATAAAACAGGAGGAGGAAAGCAGACAAAAAAGGTAAGGGCTTTTTCTGAATGGAGTGTGTGCCATTCCCCTCAACCCCTATAAAGATTCACAGACTCACAGGTTTTTCTTTCCATATCACTCTCTCAAACATTTGCACTAGAAGCACAAACCCACTTGGTAATAGATATACACCCGTTAGTCTCATGCACAAAAGATACACCATCTCAGAACCTCCCACGTGGCTGACCTGCTCCATCAGGAGTGATGGTTCCCAACTTCACTGCCAGAGGATAACCCGTCTCCTTGTAGTGCTCCATTGCATGCCCGTTCCCCCCACTGCCATCAAAGAACCACTTTCCACATAGCACAGAACCATCTGTCAGGTTTAGCCACAGATTCTCCCGCAGGTCACATTTTGAGCATTTCCAACCGCTGCAAAAGAAAACAGAAAGAAACGACAGAAGTAAGGAATGCAGGAACCAGTCCTGTATTTCCAAGGTAGGTCAAACCAAACATACACACCCAGCCCAGAGTCATGCAAGAGGATTGTTGGCTGAGTTGCTGGCTTTAGTTCTGTTACTCTGGACTGTGTTAGAGAGCCTACAATGAACAAACTTTATTACCCTCACCTGGGGGGAATTCTAACACCATTGTCTAACTGTACAAGTGTTTTGGCATGTTTAGATGCCTGCAGCTCTTCTTCCCAGGAGTCAGGGTCCTGCTTCCTGTAGGGTGATTTTGCACTGAGGAGAGCATCACAAGCTATTGTCACCTGGAAGACAAATGTACGTCAATCAAAACCTAACATGATTCAGTGACTGGACAGAACTTGGCATTCAGCCCATTGCTAATCACATACAGAACTGGATATCAGTAAGACTATTTATATACTTAAATATGCACGTAATCTTCTAGATTGCAGTTGTTATTATTTTAGCAGGAGAGTAAGCACATGTGCTATGTGAGCTTCCCTGGGACAAGCTGGCATCATAATAAGGGAAGGAATACAGGAAGTAAAAGGAAATCCAAGAAACAAAGACAAAGCAGACTTTTAGAAATTACTGACTCTCTATTATAGCTAGTTAAGAAAGATCTCTATGTAAAAACAAGCACTACACATAAGAAAACAAAGCACCGTCTTGATAAAGACTGAAGCAGGAGACAATTCCTATCACCACTTGCACACACTCACTGACCAGTGCTGGTAACTCTTCTATATTGGGTAATAAGATTTCATAGTGATCAGGAAATATAACGAGTTTTGCTTCATCTTCATATTCAAAGTCATCATTGTTGAGATCACTGTTTGTCTCTAGATCTGGAAAACAAGATGGGGAATGTTAGGAGATTGTCCTGAGACCAAGGTTCCTAAATTGTGGCAGGGGTACCACCATGAGGCATTGCTTGCCTGGCATCAGCCTGCAAGTTAACATTGTCAGCAGTTTCTTATGGCTAGAAATTTTTGTGAAATCCTGGTCTAAAGTGAAATCTTACCATCCTGCAAGAGGATGTTCTGAGGACCAAAATTTCCATCTTAATCTCATCCCCAGTCACAATCACAGTTGATTTGGCCACTCTCCAAGCAGTCCACTGTTGCAGACATCACATTCTGTGAAGCATCTAACAAAATTCTGCTCATTTTGGACAAAATCAGGATGTAATACTGCTGCGCCTTTTACCCAAGATCTTGAAATGCTATACAATATGGAGACCAGGTCACACTACCCATGCCCAAATTGCAGAGCAGGAATAATACACCTCTGTTTCAGTCCCCCATATTTTCCAGATCACAGACCTGGCTGAAACATGCTATGGCTCCCATCCATCTTGAACCTATGACCTTTCCTCCCATGATGACGTCCATGGCTGGAAGTATTCCCGCACCTCATCCATAGTCTCAAATACCTACAGCAAGTACAGTTATACCAGCATTATCCCTCTCTTGCTAACTCCACTCTGTAACCAGTGTAATTATCTGTTTAAAAAGCACTTATTAACTACCAAAGCTTTCCTTTGAAGATCAGGCTTTCCATAGTGTTTGTGTACTCTTATTGCAGTGTAAGGATGACTTTTTTTGCTTATATATGAGCCTTGATCAACCAACATGAGCTAAAATGCTTGTCCAAAAGTAAGTGGACCCAGAAGGAAGCCAGAAGGGTATATAAGTAACCAAATGGCTAGTGTTTTTATCTCTAGCTCCATCAAAAACATAATTATCCCATAGTGAAAAGACCAAGTTAAAATCCTGGTCAGTTCTTTCCGGAACAACTGAAAAAGTCAAGACCAAACATGTGCATGTTGTGTCAGACATTTCACAAGATTCAGTTGCAAGAATAGCCTGGGCAAGGATGGGATCTTCTGGATCCTTCTCCTATCTGGAGATGCTGGATCTACTGTATTCTGATGTACCAGACAGTCACTGACAGCATAAGGTTCAACCAAGAAAGAAGATGCATTAGCAGTAGGCTAAAGCTGGCTCTTATTTTCACTCCAAGTACATGCATATGCTTTATGAGTCACTCAATACTAATAGAGCATTGGCAGCAACCACTTCACCCTGGGAATGCCTGAAATCTCAAATGTATATTTGGGAGAGAGGTGAGGATGACAGAGGCCAGATTCAGAAAACTAAGCTCTCTATTTACCCAGTGGGCAGTAACAGCCTGAACATCCTAAGTGATAAAACAAGTATCAAAAGATATTTTAACTTGACCTGGAAAGACCACCTCGAGAGGAACGTAATCCAGTTGCCATTCAATTTTTGGCTCACCTGCTGCACCAGCCAGTCCTGAGGGGTGACAACACCCACTGTCAGTGACTTCCAGCAGCCTTATCTCTTTCTCAGCAGCAACCAACAAAAGCCCCTTCTCATCAGCTGAATACAGACACAAAAGCAAGAACTTTTTCTTATACTGAAAGCATGACGTTTATAAAGAAAATATTAATTCTTTACTAATTCTCTGAATCACACTATTCTCATAATGATCCCTTCCATTACTGCAGCAAAACAGAGATAACCAGTGACCCCACTTTACTCTGGGCTTCTTTCCCAGCTTGTATTACAAGCCTGTGTTTTGATAAAGGAGTGAGTCTCAACAGATGCAGTCTGCAACAGTAAGCTCTTTTGCTCTATGAAGCAAAGAAATTGAGTATCTCCAAGCTGATGATACATATAGCAACACATCATTTAATGCTCAGAAATTTGATGGTGGCCAGCATAGAAAAACCAAAAGTACTGACCATCTCCTAAATATGACAGAGGTTCCTCAGAGAGGATAAAAACTCAGTGTATGTTCAGACAGGTTTAAAGGCAGCAAACGCCTCTTCCAGGGCCTGCAGTCACACCCTTCACTCAGCCACCAGAGGGAACCTGAGGACAGCTCACATCCACTATAGTTATCTGTAGACTTGTATAAGACCCGCTGGTGTTTTCATTTCCTCACGATACCAACATTAAGTTTATAGTATTTACAATCCGCTATATAGAAACAGCAATGATATAGTTGCTTGGGTTCAAAATATAGACACACACTTCAGTTCATCTCACAAGCCAGACAACAGCCAGGTAGTAGTGACTTTACTGCTACTGACCTGACCTGCATTTGAACTAGTGATCCATGGATGAAAGACTGAGTATCCTATTAGCAATCATCTGCTGCCATCTAAGGACTTCACACACTCAGGAGCATCAGCCTTTTGTATGTAATGGGTAGGGAAGGAAAGTTCCTTTTTACCTTCTCGGGCTTCATACCACTCACATTACCAGAAAAGCAGAAAATTATGTCCTGTCAGCATGGCATTCTGGATGTCTGACATGCTGGTATGGCAGCATCACACTTCTTATTTTAAAGAAAGATACACACAGCTTCGTAACAGTTCCAGGACAAAACCATGAGAATTTAACTGGCAATTCTGCTTTTGAAGATGACCATGTAAAGCTGGTACACTTCCACTCCACACACATACTCCCTCTGAATAGGAATTCAAAGGACCGCTGGTGCTTTTTGGCAATTACCACTCTGAAGACAGTTTCTCAAGGTTCAGATCCAGTACATAAGAGTGAAAGGGACTTCCAAGGTCACTGACTGAAGTCCCTTGATACAGCAGGTGACCATATAAACTAATTCCTTTTGTTGACTATCAGACAGGCCCCTTAATGATGTCCAGTTTAAAACCCCCAAATCACCACTCATTTTTAAATTTTGGCTTGTATGCGCTGAAAGCCATAGTTGCTAAGTTCCGCAAGAAGTTCTACCTGCATTTTATTTTCTGCGCCTGTGCAAGGGCCAACACAGCTAAGTAAGCATGAGCATAGATATAATAAAAACAGATGACGATTACGTTAGAAGGCAACGGAGCCCACACCAAATGAGGGCAGAGGTTGACCCCATAGCCACTGGGCATCATGTGCAGTCTGCAGGCAGTTTTGATGTTGGATTTTAAAACTAGCATAGAATTTGAGAGAGGAATAAGAGTAACTATAAGAAAGAGACGCAGGAGGAAATCTACTTGCAAATGAGGCACATTTGATTAAAAATTACTGTAACACTAAACGCACTGAAAAATATGAACATTCCAGCACCATACTTCATAGAAAGCTGTTTCTTGGACAAGGATGTTCTTCCAAGATGCGCTGTAAGTAGATGAATCTCTGGGCAAAAAAGGGTTTACTCAGTTCTAAGACTGAGCCACAAGACAGCCAACCAGTTTGTAATCTTTTTAAAGAGCTGACAGCTTGATGATGAATGTCCACATGACATTGTTCCCCTTCTAGTGGACTAACAGCTTTATGGTGCCTCCTCAGAGCCCCAATTAAACACTGTTGTCACTAAAACAAAGTGTCCGTAGGTCATAAGCGTTGTGTTGGAAGGCTGCGACGACAGGCAAAGCAAAATAACAGACACATTAAAACACAGGCTGGACTGATGTTATTTTGGCCAAGTGGTCAGTAGAGTAAATTTACCCCTGCTCACAGGCATCAATTTAGTGACGGTGAGAAATGCACTGCTGCTGAACTGACTGAAAACAGCAGCTGGAGGTGGAAGACAGACTACTGTAAACCAACCCACCAGAGGGAAAGAAAAGGAGTGGATGTGCCCAGATCAGATTTAGACAAGTTAGCAACTGACTGCACTAATAATAGTGGCATAAGGAGACTCCAGGCAGGACCCCTAAACAGGATTTCCTGTGCATATGGATTTGTGTGCATATGAAAGGGAATACAAACATGAAAATTGAATGATGATGTTGACTAGTGAGCTTACAACTAATTTTGAAACCCTAGAAAGACATCTTTGGAATCTGAGCTTGATCCTGCTCTCACTGAAAGCAATGGACAAATTTGTATTGACTTGGAAGTGGAGGACTGAGTCTTTAAATCAAATGATTTCTTCCTGAAGCCTCTAAATAATAGTGAGTTGCAGCAGCAGCACTTTGCAAACTATAAGCTATTCAGTTCATTTGTCTTTGGGCACATCTGAAACACTGACCTCATCAGATGAGCTATAAAAAAGAAAAAATAAAAAAAAATTCACTTTACAGTCATAACGTTCTCCTTTGTAGCAAAAAGAAAAGCAAAACTTTCTACTAGGATCATTTGGATCATTCACTACTTGTAAAATAACATTCAAAGTGTTTACTACAAAGCATTAGTACGCTGTTCTTATTGCTAGATATAGACCTCACTCCTTGGATTACTGGCACAGTCATGCGTTAAACAAGCAAAGCTAAACCACCAACATTCAAATTCTTAATTATTTTGCTAGCAGCATTAGCCTTTGTTAATCTAGCCTGATTTCCACAGTTTAGCTAAAGCAGCAAACTGTTAAGATTCTGTTAGTGTAAGGTATCTGCTCACCATTCTATACTCAGCTCAAGCTTAGATGGCAAAGCCAGAAAGCAACAGGTTCACTCATGGTCTAATCAGTTCCACTCCTACTGCTACGGAGTACACACAACTTCACTGGGTCAAAATTTAAAAAAATATTGTCAGGAAACACTCAAATCCTCCTAAATCACAACTTTCTATTCATAGATGTTATATTGGCTCTGGCTGAGATGGCGTTAATTCTCCCCATAGCATCCCTCATAGTGCTGCACTCCGTATTGGTAGCTAGAAAGGTGTTGATAGCACACCAGTGTTTTGGCTACTGCTGAGCAGTGCTTGCACAGCATCAAGACTCTCTCCCCAACATTTCCTCCCCCTCATTTCCTCACCGGCAGCCTGGGGCTGGGCAAGATCTTGGGAGGGGACATAGCCAGGACAGCTGACCCAAACTGACCAAACGGATATTCCATACCATATGACGTCAGCTCAGCTATAAAAGCTAAGTAAAGGCAGATGGAAGGGGGGGCATTCATTATTTACATTTGTCTTCCAGAGCAACCACTATGAGTACTGAAGCCTTGCTTCCCAGGAAGTGGCCAGGCATTGCCTGCTGATGGGAAGTAGAGAAAAAAAATCTTTTGTTTTCCTTTGCTTTTGCGTGCAACCTTTGCTTTTGCTTTATTAAACTGTCCTTATCTCAACCCATGAGCCTTTCGTTGTATTTTCTCTCCCCTGTCCAGTTGGGGAGGGGGAGTGATAGAGCGGCTTTGGTGGGCACCTGGCATCCAGCCAGGGTCAACCCACCACAGATGTATACTCTATAAGGGTTTACTTACATAAATATAAACTTAGACTACACATGGTAAAAGTCCTCTTCTGAAGCTTACCAAACAAAAACATCCTTACTGAAAACAGGGTTCTGCTACTGGCTGCTATGAGATCTAGGAGAGCTAAGTGGAGCTGTGGTCAAATCCAGTACTTATCCACTCTTACGAATGGTCTTTACACTTGGAAACGGTAGCCCTAAGTGCATTCACTGCTGTAGGCAGGCAGGTGCCATCCAGGAAAAGCTCAGCAAGTTTACACATTCTCCCAGACTCTCTAAGTGGAAGTTTTCCTTTCCGAGGCCTTCTCTGAGACCAGCTGTGTGTCATGGATACTGCTCCTCACTGACACTCTTCTCACCAGCAATTACCATCCTCACAGATCTGCTGACAGAGCTGTTCATTTGAGTACTTTAAAACATTTTAATTGATGGTCTAAGATAGCCCTGACTTTGCTCAAAACAGACCTCACACAACTTGCTGCACTGGCAGATACTGCTATGGTAACTGGTCTGGAAGAGGACATCTGTCTATGGACAAGTTTTATGACAGCCACTCTGCCGGCTCTGTTTAGCCTAGAGACGAGGCTCTGGCATGGACCAACAGATGCCCAGGAAGAGGGCACCAGAATAAGGCAAAAATGTGGTGATTCCTCCGTCAGTGTATAGATACCTCCTACCTTCCAGATATCTATTTGTGGGTTTTTGTTTGCTGGGGGTGTGTGGTGTGTGTGTGTTTATTTGTCTGGTTGGTTTTAGAGAAAGAGAGACAGGGGGAGACACTGCATGCAGCTGTGGTTTCTCTGTTCAAAAGAGAGGTTCACTTCACATTTATAAAGCAAAATAACAGAGAACAAAATATAAAATGTTGCTCTAGTCCTGATGTTCCACTTGACGCTCTCACTGCTGCTGACAACTGAGCTGACATTTTCAGAGAACCATTCACATCATATCTCTCTCAGAACTACCTTTCTGAACAATAATAGCTAATTTAGACCACATCACCATGCACACAGTCAAAGCACTTCTCGTCTTCTTTGCATTTTTCAACATTTACTTATTCTATTGTTTAGTTACTCAGTAACACATTAAAAATCACTTCTAATCTCTTAGATAAATTTAAATTAACCAGCAAACTCTATTTCTTTATTTTTCAATCCCTTCCCAGACCATTTATGATTACATTAATTCTTCATAATTAGAACATTACGAAGGACTCCACTGATAACTCCTGGGAGTAACAGGTCCCGGGGGACTCTGCTGGTAGCTCTACTGTAAGAACTAGGCCTCCAATCCCTTCAATACAAGGATCTTCCCTCTTATTCCACTACCCCTTTTGACCAGGATCTTGTAAGGACGATCTTAGTACATTCTGTTAATTGAATTTCTCTTATTCACACAGTCCCTGAGTACATAGGGGGACTACTACACATAGTCCCAGAGTTTTCTGGCAGACCCAGAACCATTACTTCACTTTGGAAACACCACAATGGTTCTTTTCTGTCCTGTCATATTTATACAACTTCCTATGGATTCTGACTCATTCTTTCTTCCAGATGGGCCAATATGAAAATTAAATTTAGTGATGATACTTTTCCTGGTCCCATCGTGTCTTTTTTGTCCAAAACTGGTATCACATTTACCATGCTGTAGCTGATTTAAACAAGAGGTTGCATACCAAAGACAACAGTGCAGCTGTTTCTTATCTGAGAGCCTTGTGATGTCATGGGGAGCTACCATCTTGTCCTATCAATTAACTTCTTTCCATTTTACAGACAGGATCTAAAACTTCTCTGTGTAATAGCCAGACATATTGACAAGCACAAAGTATCTTCAAACTTGCTAGCCTAGATAACAATGCAATGAGGATACTACTCCATGCATTGTGATGCAGACAGTCTGTTTTAAATATCACCCCAACCCACCTGAAAGCTTGCAGTCTGAGCTGAAGTTACCATATCCACACTGACTAGCAACATCTAAACAATCTAGATTAAAGGCAGTTCATACATTTCATTGCACAATGTTATTATCCTTCCTGATTACATATACCACTCACAGCCAACACCCTCCAGCCTTCTCCAAAAGAAAAACAAAACAAAATAAGCCCAAAACCTAATGCATGTGCACACATGCATACACACCTTGCTATGGGTCTTTTAATGTTTAGGGAAAGATAGAGCTTCCAGTTGACTGACTCAACCAGTCTGTGTTTCTATTGCATTTGCTGGATAGTAGCAGTGCTAGAAAGTAATCACTGAGCATCCAAAAGATGTTTTCCTAATACTAAGGAGATTGAAAAGGTTTTAGTATCTTTAATAGCTTTACATCAAAGAGGATTATAAGAAGCAATGTAACAAATGCCCAAACTGGATTGACTTTGTACACAAAGTTTAAATCTCTGGGTCTTCAGGGAATTATTCAAAGACACCTAGAAACACAGTGATGTTAGAGTTACCCATTGATCATTGTCTATTCTTGTCTGATAGGGTAAGCCCTAAGTGGCAGGCTACATATATTGGCTGATAATAGCCAGTTTGGTGCAAACCTCTACCATAGGTGCCCAAGGTCACAATGAGAAAGACAGAAGTAAAACAACCTGTTAAGATGAGAAGTCCAGCAGCTCTGAACCAATAAGGAAGATGTTGGATTAAGAGATAACCCCTCTGTGCTTTTGTTTCCTCAGCTACGAACAAGGACAGGAATAATTCTTTGTTCTTTACTTTAAGCGTGGCCAAAAAATAATAAAATCTGCTGAGGCAAAGAAGTGGATACAAAGCATTTGAATGCACGGAAGTACTATCTCAAGGATCAGAGCAGAGAGCTGATACCACTTTACTCCAGCCAGCAGGGGCTGCAAAGAGGACTGCAGTAGAACAACAGACCAGATGAGATACATTTTCAAAAGTGCATTAGATTCCAGAAGTGCTGGATTAAATTATGATAGTTCTGTGTGCTCAATCCATCCCAGTGAAAGTGCATTGCCTTCAGAAGTTCCCTGGGACCAGGACACTTGGAAGTGCTGCACCAGATCTACTCATCAGGAACAAAATGCTCATGTGCAGGGATGGAATTTGAGGACTCCAACAAGGCACATCAGAGACACTACGCTATGTACACTGTGTGCTGGCCTACCACAATGACAGGAGCCTCAAAATGTATGCAGTAGATCAGCAAGAGTAAAATTTGACCATGCTTTTGTACTTCTTGTTTACACTCACATTACTAACACTGTACAACCATTGCTGCATTGCAGCCAGCTTTGTTTCTGAACCAATTATGTGTCCAGTGACAAACATTATTTTCAATGTAAACTGACAGTAAATGGCATTTAGACCAGCGTCTGCGACTTAACAGTCTCTTCCTACAAAAAAAGTTTTGTTTCTTTATGACTCGCCTTAAGACTTTTTTTCTCTCTAAGCCCTCCTTGCAAAACTTACTCCAGACATTAATAGCAGCAATTTAATGGATCACAATCTGCAAAGGCCTTTTAGGGACACACTCCACAGATCAAAGCAATTCCAAAGAGAGGCCATGCTATTGTTTCCCTTTAGCCATAAGAGCTGGCAATTGTAAAGAAAACATTTAACTTCTTCATTAACAGAAGAAAAATTCACTATTCACTATTAATACAGAGAGAATAGATAATAGATGAATCAGAGAAATATCACAACTGGTGGGAGGAGGGAGAATATAGGCTTTGCATCACATTCCCCTCATCCGTATTTGCGGCCCTCAGGTTTTCTGGGTAACTTGAATCAATGGGTATTGGATGAAACAGACACGGTAAAAATACTGCTTTCCATGAAGCAAGGGGATATAACTGTGGACATAACAGAATAAGAATTGGTAAGAGGTGCTCATAAGATATGTACTGTTGCATTCATTACAGGAGAGACCACAACATCACTTAAGAACATTTACCTGTGTAACAACTTTGAAATAATAACAACCCTTCCTATAACCAGCTGCTGATCAGAACAGTGCCACACTGAGGCCCTGTTATACCTAAACATTAAGTATAGATAAACATTTCAAGGGTGCTTTGTGGAAATCACAAAGAGAGAAGGGACAGAATTAGTCAAAAAATGCCTATCAAACCCTAGACTGTTTGAGAATAGTTGAGGGCCTACTTCAGATTAAAATGTTTCATGTATACATACACATTTATCTCAATATGCACCAAAATTGCTAAGAATTACTTATTTGTGGGGACCAACTTTAAAAACTAGAACCAAAAGTTAAAAAAAAATAACCCAACAGAAAAAGAAAACCCATAAGGATCCCCAAAGCCAGACACAATGGTGGACAGAACCCAAGTACACAGGCAGACAGGGTCAGAAAAGGACTGTGTGAAAGCAGCTGTTCACAATACCTAAAAATAGCTTAGCATTCCTCCTTTTTGGTAAAGCTCCACCAGATGCCCCTGGTACCTTCTGGAAAGAGAGAAAGAAACAATTAAAAATCCATCAAGTGAGACAACAGTAAATCAGCAATAATCCCATGCCATGACCATTTCTGACACACATCTATCTGTTCATGGTCCTTCTATTAAAGCACAGTCCTTGCTGAGCAAGAATGTAAGTCATCTTCATGCATCTCTGACAGTGGGACCCAACTCATCATTGCTTACTACCCTCACAGAGTGAGAAACCCATCATCTGAATCCTCCATATTTTGCTCTGTTAGCAATTAAGCAGAGCATGTCTCATGGTCACCGTGGGTGACTGCTGTTCTATCAACAAGACAGGTACATCTAGCATCACTCAGACCTCTCACCACTAGATACCCTACAGTATTTCTTAATGACTAAGGCTGAATTAGAGAGAGGAAGAAAAGGCTATTATCTGCATAAAAGATTCAATCCTTCACAACTGATTCCAGAAGACAGCAAAGTGGTCATACTATTAGTTCAGCTGATTTTTTTCTATCCAGAAAAAAATGCCCTTTCTACCAGGATCCATGCCTGCTTCCATTAAGATCAATCCAAGTTACCACCATGCTTTCTTAATATTAGAAAGTATGGAGAAAACCTGACAACACCAAAGCAATTGCTTAGGGGAGATTTTATTTTATTTTTTAATTTAAGCTCCACAGCAGAGAATAGTAACTGCCAAGTGACTTTCAATTTCAAGCACTATTTTCCCAGTTCAAAATACCTCAGACTACTAGGGAAAACACTAGTAGCTGAGGAAATGTAAAAGTCAATGCACTTGCTGCTTAAGCTGTTTATTAACAGGCACCATTAAATCAAATCAAATTAAATCAAATCAAATAAGCCTCTGCGGCTGTAATGCCAACATGATGCATTATGTAGTGTATAATGTTAGTGTAGCTGGCGAGGTTGTTAGGCAACTTTTTTTTTTTAATAATAATATTGGGATACAACAGGTGGAGAGAAACCAGCCAAGAACCTGTCAGCCCAGGGAAAGTTCATGTTTGCCTCTGCTCCTTGGTAGATGAAAGGGTCACATATTTTGGGTGGTTCCCTTCACCATGTAAATAAAGCTTTGGCCAAAGCAGACTGCTTGAATCATCAGTGAGGTCTTATACATCATAGGAAAGTTTTCCATTCTTAGAAAGAGCAGATGCCAACTAACACTCCTTGGTTGCACTTGAGAACAGAACCTATTATCCACATATACGAGCCCTAGGGAAAGGGATGTTGCAACTCTAGCATTTTAAAAAAAAATATTCCTCAATGAAGTGAAAATAACAAGCAGTACTGGAATTTAACAAGTGGAAAGCAAGTAACCAAGAATCCAAATTTATTATAAGAAAGCAGCAGCAAGATACAACATAACCCAATTACAAATATATTATGATTAAATTACACATACTGCAAGGATTATAGCTTCAGAACAACAACAACAAAAAAAGTTGTTTCCAACTAGGAAGCTCCAATTGAATTCTGACATCACCAAGTGGGATACTGTGAAAGTCATTAAAACTAGAGATTTCAAAGAGGAAGAATTCACATGGAGTGTTTATCACTGCCAGCTTGACATTAAATATTTCAGTTTGATTTTCCAAACTGCTGAATATATCTGAACTGGAATGCAGATGCTCAGTACTCCTGAAAAACCCGGGACCTGACAGGTTTTTTTATCTTGTTTCTCCATCTGTCAGAAGTCACTGAAAACATTCCCCATTCACAAAACAATTTTGGCTTCTAACAGATGTGACACACCCAGCAAACGGGAGTCCACTCAATGCATCGGTAGTGGCATTAAATTCCGTTTGTGATGCTTCTCGTACAAAGCGTCAGTGTAGCCTATTCTGCATTCTCTTTGACTGTACCATTGCCACATTTTTTACAACAGCACCATCACTGATAAAATCCAGGAACCCATCACTGTAGGAAACGTTATGTTTCTCTGCCTAGTGTTTTCAACAGGGCTGAGGTATCACTATAGCACCAAGCTAAAGCTCTGCCCGGGGCTGAGTACTACGCAGGCAGTTGTATACGTGTCATACACTTCAGAAAAATGGCTGATTTAAAAATTCTGAAGAGTAAAATTCTAGGAAAAAGAAAAAAAATAAATTTCCTTGATTTAGCTAAGAATTTTACCAGAGGGTGCTCCATAACTTGCGCTTGAGCACATTTCTGATGATTCAGCACATGCCTCTGGTGCTGATCTGCCACTGGCAGATACCCTAGCTCTCCTTAAGCCAATAGGCTGAAGATCTGACCCTTATTTTCTAATTGAATTGTGACAAGATACACAACTGATACTTATTCCAAACACCCTCGGAAGCAAATAGTGATTTCTGCAGCAATGCAGTGCATTCTGCAAGGATGATGCCAAGGGAACCACAGGCAAGAATAGCAGCCTCACTAAAAGAGTCTTAAGATGATAGCATATCCAATGCCTTTGGCTTTACTGTATCCCACACCATCAAAAGCTTGGCTTAAAAAAACAAAACCACAATGCAGCATGTGGCAGACACTTCATAAAACTGTACCAGTAAAGGCCTGACATTTCACATTGCTCAAAGGAAAACATGGATAGCACGTAAGAAGGGAACAGTCATGGTAAACAAAATCCACGGCTAATGTATGATGAATCCTATCTATGAGCTATGTTGGATGACATGATCTTCACCTGTACTGTAGAGTCAAACACTGTTTCCTACCACATGACGCAGTGCACCAGTGCGTCACCACCTTCAAACATAGATGCCAGGCCCCTCTGCTACATCATGAATCACAAGGAGAAAAATAGGAACCACTGAACTAGTTCAACTGAAGGGGTACGCAATGCCACACAACAGTCGGTATATTTGTTTCTCCCTTTTGGAGTTCTTAATCCTAATCTTTACCCAGGAACGGAATTTTTGAGGCCTCATTTTAACCCCAGTTTACCTTAATATTGAAAATTCCCAGGTCACACGCTGAAAGAAAGTTATATACAAGGGAAGCCGACAGGATTTCTGCCCACCTGTCTCTAGTCCTAGATATCATCTTTCAGGAGTGTTAAATTCACTCAGATGAACTGTTGCTAAAACTAGACTAGGCTCTCCAAAGACTCCGTTAACAGTGTGAAGGAAGATGTTGCTATCACCCTTACAAGGAAAGACAACTCTAAAGTATAACAAACATCATTAACAATCTCAACCTGGAAGGCATGCAATTTACCTCACTATAATTCTGATAAAATATGAATAGTCATCTACTGCAAATAAATAAATGATCAGGGCATTTTACATAACTCAGGGCCTTCATCACCCAGGGGAAACATTGCTGTAGAACAAGAAACGTGAAGTATTCTATCCCACTCCAAGCAGCTATTTTAGGCCCTCTAACTTGCCAAGAGACAGAGCTTACGGGAGAGTAAGCTATAAGCAAACCCAGTGCCTTCCATATAGCTCAGGTCAGAAGTCATTAACAGCCTTTTAAAGACGCCAGACAAACCACACACAAACACATGTTATGAAGCACAGGTTTTAAGTTATTGTTGATATGCAGTGATATTGTGGAAGAACAGTGAACATGAAGTTTGTATGTATACATCCATGTGGGGGGGGTGTAAGACTGAATGAGGGCAGTGTGTGGCTCTAGAATCTAGCATTAATTTAAGCTAAGCTTTAGATCCCAGGCTGGGTCAGGATTAAGGCTCATGATTTAATTGTACAGAAATCTTAGGATGAAAAGAAGTCCTGTCACCCTGAGATGAAACCTCATATTAAAAAAAATCTCAGAAGCTTCCAGCCAAATCTGAGACAAAAACAGTAATTCTACACTTCAAAGGCAGCTTTTGGAAAAGTATTTAGTTACCTACAGTATGCATGTGATATGCAGACAATATATATGTGATACACCGAACTGTGGAGTAAAAAAGATCAGTGGAAGTCAGGCAACAAGCTGCCTTTAAGATCTGACTCTTTAGGGCTTTTGATTCATCTCAGAACTGAAGCTATAGGATTGGTTGGGATCCAAGCACCTGAATTTGATATCCAGCCCCAAATCTGAACATGTTCATTTCTGTCACTCGAGATTTGGTCTAGGTCTGAAATGCATTAACTAAATGAGCACGAGACCCAAGAACTGCCAGGGTAGGTAGTTAGGAAGCCACAAGTCTCACCTCTATCACACGTCGTTTCAGATGCAAATACACACACTGTCCTGTTTTCCGGTAATGCCTTTCAATGTGTTCCCTTCCAAATCCCAGAAACGTGTTCATGCACACATAGAGACCTCCTTCTGATTCCTAAAAGGAATGACACAAATAGTTACAGCACAGAAAGAACTGAACAGGACAGAAAGGACTCAGCAAGCAGAAAAAACAAAGAATTGCAGATCTTTTCTGTTATCAGGCAAGCACTTAAAACATGGCTTTCATAGCACATTATGGTGTTTACATTATCAGTCCTCTAAGGAACTTCCACATCTATCACAGCCTACAGAAACGCATTGAAATGGGTTACTTTACAACTAGAGATTAGTAAGCATCCAAATTGGAGGTCTAGCAGTTAGTCTTGAAAAATTCTGCTTGAGTGCCCAATCCACAGAGATTTCTAAGTGCAGAAATTTGTAAAGCATAGAAATAATGAAGCACAGGCATTTGTTTGAAATAGCAGAACTTTTTTTGGCCATTTGATTGCAAGAACAACATTCCAAATCAGAAGCATGGCAGAGCTGATGGTCCAGGGATTCAGCCACAACTTCTACTATTGATCACAATCTTGTCTGACAAAAACAGATCTCAAGTGATCTTACAGCTCTTAGAACTGGCTAACAAGAAAACTGGCAAGTGTTTTGTGAGCATTCTTCGGTATCTATCAGGGATTCTCCCTATTCATGCAATTAGAGTGGTTGGAGACAAGGGCACTACAAAGGAAATATAAAGATATATATTCCCGGTACTGATCACAAATGCTGACATTTCACTAACATAACCTGGCAGGAGTCCTATCACTTTTTGCTCTCCCAAAAGCTGGGTGTTGATGCTGGCTGTTATCAGGGTCTTTTTCCATTTTAACATCACTCCCAGATCTCTCCTACACCATTCAGACTGCCAGGAGGACTTTCAGTCATCTGGTTCATTGGTGTTGGATCAATTTTTTAAGCCGTCTCTAGCATGTATTGTTTTTAATAGGTGATGCATAACAAAGATTGAGCCTTTCAGAAGTACTGTGACCTTCCTTCTACTGTGAATATGTTTGTGCTATTGGATAGTACAGAACATCTCATGTTAAACTCCCCAAAGAACAACACGAACTAAACTCATCCATAGGCACCTTAGATGGAAATTAGAAAAAAAACCAAAAAAAATTTAAAAATCATTACCTCCAGAAACAAGTCACATTAGGCGCATACATGTGCATAATCATGTATTGAGAATTGTTACAGCAACAATTGCTTTGACAGGATACCACCTGATAGTGCCACACCTGAAACATATTCAATACAGTAAACCAAGAAGTTCTCTCCTGCCTGGCATACCTCTCTTGAAGGCTCTGCCAGGCAGGAACCTCTGCTCTACCTCTGAGCCCAGCCACGCCCCTCTCTCAGAGTGAGCACAAAGCTGCCCATCCTGCCGTGCCAGCCATGGCACAAGTTAGGCTCTCTCTGGTCCTGTGGACTGGGACAAGTAGCAGAGGGCAAGTCTGACAGAGATCATAGCTGATCTCCAATACTTTCCTAACCAGCATCAGGTTAATACACCTTATTGTCTTCCAGAAAAGGCAGCTGAAGGGCTAATAGTGTTGAGCAGTTGTTGCTCATTTGATACCTGGCACAGACTGGCTAGTGCCTGACAAGCCTCTCCCCTCCCACCACTGCCCCAAAACCAGGCTTGAATGTGCTACTCTGAACCCAGTTAATTCTCCCCAGGCTGTTTCAAAGACTGGCACTGAGTATTTCTGTAGGGCTTGAAGGAATCTAAACTTCCAGCTTACCTACAACCTTCCTCCATACCTGTCTGTTACTCTTTCAAACATGCTCATTTGTATCAAAACAACTAAAGCCAGTACTGAAGAACTGCCTTGGCCACCAATAAATACTGGTACTTCCACAGTGGCCAGCAGGGCCATGGAGCTGAGGAACAGAACACGAAGAGAGACCAGAGAATGATGTTTTACCCAAAGACTTTAGAAAATATCTGCCTCTTCCACTTTTCTTCATGTGAACCAACGCATACAAGCTTCATCTTTTCAGATTAGCTGAAAGATGAACGTGTAATGAACTATACAGCTGTTCCTTTACCTACCTCTAATGGACAAAAAATTGCATTAAGCATTCCAGGATTCAAATATGCAATCTGAAGCAAGGGTTTAGACTATCTGCCATTCACACTTAACATTTACCGTGAAGTAATTCTTTCAGCACCTAGCTATCACAATGATTATCTCTGCAGAGTAAATAGTAAACTATTTAGCCATCTCATTTCTGATCCACATAACACCTATCCGAGATTCTAGTTAAAAAAAAACCACATCTCATTTACATTTGAAATATTCACAGCCTTGAGAACAGGGCTGATATCTACAATTGTGCTCAAAAGTAATAAAATGGTTAAAAGAAAACTCCAAATCTGGTATTCGAAATAGTCACAAAAACCCGATTGTATTTAAAATGGGTTACCTTTATTTTAATTTTCACTACTCTTTCACAGATTTATGTACTTTAAGGCCCATTATACCTTTGCTGTCTGCTCTTATATCCTGTATTCCAAATCCTTTTGCATTATCTTCTCTGAGAAGGTCACGGCTGTGTCCGCTACAAGAGAATCCTACAGGTACCCAGCCTAAATAAAAATATAGAGTGTTGTCACTCTCGGGTCTCAGGAACTTTGTTTAGAATTTTATTTTCTTGGAGACCATTCTCGCTTTTTCTGGAGGGAATCCAAGAGACCACTGAACCACTTTTGATAAGCAGTCTATGACAACAATCTAACACTTTCAGTATATGAGCTAAATGTAGAATCTGAGTAAGTAAGTTGGTTGTGGTTACTAACAAAACTGTTATTTCTCCTCGAGAATGCAGACAGACTAGTCTCTCACGCAACTTGGAAAGAAGCGGACAGACTGTTCAAAAGCCTAAAAGGTCACAGCAAAACAGGGGAACATGTGAAAAAGCCACCTTTGCAGAAGGCTGCATAAAGGATTAGGCCCCTGTTTGGTGCTCAGAGAACACTTGACTGATCTAAGACAGGCTTTGTGCTGGTGGATTTAACCCTTCTGAGCACACAACCAGTTCTGAAAGGAACAATATTTTACATAGGCTGTGGCATGTAAATCTTTGTAATCAACATTTGTTTTAGATATGTGTGAAAGTTTATGCTGGAGGAAGGCAACATAGCTAGTGTACTGAAGACACTATCTTACACCAGAAAAATATAGCTTGTCCTGAGACACAAAACCAGGAATTTTAGCTAGGTTCCCCCCCACCCCTTGCCTCAGCATGTACTGAGCATGTAGTGTGAAATTTAGGATAAAGTGATGTATAAACATTGCCTTCCATTATTACTCCAGTCTAAAGACATTGTTGGGGCAGAAGCTTGTACTTGCTCAGGCCTTGATCACTACCCAGAAGGCCACTTGAGAGTAGACTGGTCTTCTTACCCTCTAAGCAGAAGGAAAAGTGGTTACTCTTCACTGTATTTCTTCCTGTTCTTTGCTGCTAAGATGGTCACAGTATGCCAGGTGCTTTATTAATAGGACTGAGACACAGAGTCCACACCAGAGAGAAAAGTATTTAAAAAAAGAAAAAAGCTCTTCTTACTTATTTAGATAATAATTCATGTTTTGCAAAGATAAGATGAGGAACGAAAGGGACAGGGAATCCACAGTGAAAGAGCTAAAATGCAAGAGAGTCACTCCCTCTCAGGCCTGAAAAACAGGGCAAGGAAGCTGGTGGATGAGAGGTCTGGCAAACACAAATGCCAGCCCACAAGGAAACAGAGAGAGATCACCACTTTACTTCACACACGCTCATGGCACCAGACACTAATAGGTTTTAAACACTACTAACCTGATCATGATTTGAACTAATGACCTGCATCGCATTACCAAACCCCCGAACCATTTAGACCCCTTAGGGAAATCTAGGGTTTAGCAATTTCAACTCCTGAGGTGGCTCAGACAAAAATGAATTTATAAAAACACAATTGCTGTGGTGATCTGCTAACACAGCAAACAGTTACAGACTTGGGCACAATGCCTACTATACAAGTGTTTGCTTTAGATCTACTAGAACAATGGTAAAACTTGCTAATATAGGTATCAGAGAAGAGAGTAAAATGGCACCCCAAGTCTTCACAAGTCTCCATACCCAAATATAAAGAATGAAAAGGTTGTTCATCCTATCACATACAAAGTAAAAAGTACCAGCTATGACAGAGGGGCACTGGCTCCTCCGTGCATTCTGCCATGGTTTCCACGAGAGTGTTTCCCTACAAAAAGCACAACCATACAGAACTGTTACAGGCTCTATTCAGAATGTCTGTTCATCAGGAATCACCATAATTAATCTGGTTGTGGTCACAAGACTCTTGTTGTATAACTACAATCCAATCTTTAATATATTTGGAAAAGTTACAGGACCATCCTTAACATACACATACTGCATTGAATCCCACAATAGTGTAACTAAATGACACATATTTTCTTTCAGGACAGGCTTAAAAATGAATAACAGATGTCTCAGCCTTAATACTCACCTCAACAATACATAATAATTTACAATGAGGAAGAAGAAAGCCTGTCTCTTTGTCATGCACGAGTACTACCTAAATTGAAACAAGGGGAAAAAAAAACCAACCCCGAAGCAAAGCACAGCCAACCAACTGAACACAATAGCACATAGAGATGGCTCCAGCAAAACAAAAAATTAACTTTCAAGTTTCCACTGCAATAAATATGGTAACTTCCTTGGGAGGAAGAGAAGCGGGGCTGGGAATCAACCCCAAAAAATGTGTGCCAAAGGCCAGGAATATATCTAGTCACATTCAAAAGGAACATGAGGTATGAACACTGGCATAAGTCTGCCTTCTAGACAACTGTCCTCTGTCACCCAAAGGTAACAGGAAAGCAATGGTGACAAAAAGAAAGCATAAAAGGAATAATAAGAAGTAAAATTGGGCCTCTTGTAAAGAGGAGGAGAAGGAGAAGCAACAGAATCAGAAAAAGCAACGGAATGACACAGATTTACATTGCATTGATCACAAGTACACACAAGTAC